GTGTGTGTGTTTGTGTGTGTTTGTGTGTGTGTGTGTGTGTGAGGAGGCTTGCCAAGCATACCGTGCTACAGCTCGTCACTGTGCTCAGCAATCTAATCTGAGAGTAATCCATTTCTTGCAGATAATGACCTCGCTCTCTGCTGCTCCCTCCCTCTCTCTCCCTCTGTATACACACTTTGAAGTCATCACACAAATAAGCGTGTCAGCATGTGCTCCCTCTTTATAGCTCTCATTCCTACTCATTCATCCTCTCCTCTCTTCTTTCTCTCTCTTTTGGCCTCCGGTGTAACGACAGCGATGGGGCCTGTGATGGAGGAGAGTGTTTTTGAGAAACACGTCCGGCCGACTAATCTCTTGTCTCGTGAATGAAACACCTCTAACACTGGTGTGTCTTTAGTGTGTGAGTGAGAAGAGATGGTAGATGGCGGTGAAGAAACAAAGACCTCCTGAGAGATCTGTATTCACCAGACAGTATATAGTGAGACAAAGAGATAGAGAGATAAGATAGAGCGACCGAGACAAAGCAGAGAAAGACAGAGATAGTAAGAGTCAGAAGCAATTTATTTAGTCTTGTGCCTGGCTGGCTGGCTGGCTGGCTGGTGTGCTCTACTTAACCCCCAATCCAAACATTGTATGTCTTCAAACACTCACACAAACACAGAAAAAAAACCCGCTTTTTACTGATATCTATTGTTCATACTGAGCTGGCACTTTTCTAAGTCAGAGACTGAGCTCTTTTTAAATTGTTTTCCAGTGTGGATATATCGAGAAGTCCAGCCTCGGGATTTATTGTGAGATGGGAACAGCCGTGCTTTTTGAACTTTGAGTGACCGCAAGCGTTCTCTGTGATCTCTCATTTCTAATGCATCTGGTGCAGAACACTTTCTTGATTAGACAATAGATTGTTATATATCATGAGAATTATGAGCAAACGGTCCTCAATAGGGCGTCCAAACGTTTGCTTGTTTTTTTAAAATTACAATAAAAAACCCAAAGATGTTTAGTTTATTGTCACTTTGCAACTTCATTTTGATGTATAACACTTTTAATATTAAAAAAAACAGAAACCTTGAAACTTGGTTTTTGATATTTATTTATTTGTAAGTTTAATTCATTCATCAACCAAACCATACAAGTCAATACAAACATACAATCTGAACTCTTGAATGAAAGGGAGCAGAAATAATCTTATATAATCTGTCCCTCTTTCACATATATTAATTAACAAAACACATTATTCAACACAATATCCAAGTTTGCCGTAGCTCGGGCGTAGGTCCGGTGTCGAGTTTCCAGTCCTGTTAACACCACATCATCTCTTATTGAATATTGCTCCAGTTTATCCACCCTCTGCACATATACCTTTCTGTCCTTCTCTGTCAACATGGTTTTCAGTGTTTTCACTTCCTCCATCAAGACGTTCGGTCTTTCCTGCTGCGAAATTAACTTTGTCAAATTAAGTGTAGAGATCTTTTTATCTCCTCCAGGTTGTCTGCAGTTATCATTTCTTTGCTCCGTGTATTATTCTTTCTGTTAGGGAATTCTTCTTCTCCTGCCGCTAGCTGTTATCGATATTACTCATGATTTGATTGCCATATTAGTGCGGCAAGGTCAGGATGACCTTTCACATGGAGCTAACAAAATTGTTCAGCATTTTAGAAAATGATTATATTTTAATGCTAGCTTAGCCGAACTGTTTGGTTTGGTTTAAGGTTAAACTAGCAGAGAGAAAGCTCAAGTAAAACTGGAAACCTGGGACATGAATATCGTGTCTGATGGGGCCACAGTATTTGATCTGGGGGTCTGTGGGTTTTGTTTTTGGATGTAGCAGGAGATGCTTTCGGCAATGTTCAGGACAGTTCCTACAAGGCTGTTCAATGTTCTCCCAAGAGGACAAGTGACCAAATGTGAAACCAAAGTGCAACCTTAATGTAAACCAAATCCATCATATTTTCCTGAACCTTACCAAGTACTATTTGTGCTTTAACTTGTTCAAATTGTGACAACTTAAGAAAAAGGTTGCAGTCTTAATAAGTTTTGCAAAATATCATCCAACTGCAATGAAATAAGAACTGCCCCTCCCCCGTGAAACTGCTCATTTTAAAATTGTATCAACAGTCCCGTAAAAACATTTAAAGAAAGAAACAGACGCTGCAGTTGGAACCAAGTCAGCAGCAGTATAATTAGAAGTGGATCTTCATAATGAAATCACGTCACCTAAATAAGAACCTCTAAACCTCAGACGCAATGTTTTTTTTTTTTTTTTTTTTTTTTGCAAATTAAAAAAGTTTGTGTTCATAAGTGAGCTTGAGACTCGCTGGTAGGAGAATATTGTTCCCATTTGAACAAAACCAAGCTGACAATTTCACCCTGTTTCCAATGATTATGCTAAACTGAGCTAAATCACCACCTTACAAGACAGAAAAATTGGGTATTTCCCAACAATCTTGCAGTTTCTTTTATGAAAAGTAGTTCCTGTGTGATACATTCATAAGCTAAGGATTAAGCATCTCTGCATATGCAGACTTGCTTTTGTGTTTGCTTGGGATCAGCCACGCTGCTGTTCATCCAATCACGGGTCACAGCCACAGTCATGTATTCCTCTCCCCCTCTCTGTTTGTCTTGCTCACGTTTTCTCTCTGACGATTACAATTGAAATGTTCTCTCTCTCCGTCTCACCTCCTCATCTCTCTCCCTCTCCATCTGTGATGCTCACATCCCCTGACATGTATTCATAGACTGTTGTGATTTGTTAAGCCTCCAACTCTTTATTTTTCTTCATCTACACCTACCTCCCACTGTTAGTTATGTGCATTTTCATTTGTACCAATTTGATCTCTCTTAGAGAGTTAGTTTACTGACCAGTTGTACTCTTTTTGCAGGAAATTCTATCATCGATGAAGGCAGACAATTCTATAGCATTATAATAGTGTTATCGATTGTAATCATACATACTTCTGTTTTTATTTTGCTGAGTTCATGTTGACAACTTTCCTCAAAGAATTAAACATATACTGAAGAACAGCAGGGTGAATCCTCAATACAGCTAAGGGACTTTCACACTTCTACTTCCACTACGGTCCCTTTTATGAAGACCTAAGAAAAATGGTCTTTGACAAAGTACCAACACACATAGACAAGGCAAGTTTATTTACATAGCGTCTTTAAGACACCAGGCAATTCAAAGTGCTTCAAACCGTTCATAAGATAATAATAAAAATAATTTAAAAAAAGATCCAAGAAAGCAATAAAAGGTGAGATAAAAATAGTAGGTAAAAAGAAAATAATGAAAGTTATTAATGAAAAGAAAACAGTAAAAAAAAGTTATTTCTAAGAAACAGTGTTTATGTACTTACTTTGTAAGTAAAACAAAGTAAAGCAGGTAAGTTGTCTCTAATAACAGACATGGTGGTTTACTCAAAAGCCACATTGAACAGAAATATTTGAGCCCTGATTTAAATGATTCCACTGTTGCAGCACCTCAGAAACTCTGGCAGATTGTTCCAGAGGAGGGGGCGATGGAAACCAAAAGCTGCCTCAGCCGGCTGTATTCTTATTCTGGGTACACTGAGGAGGCTGGCCCCTGACGACCTTAGGGGCCCGGGGTTCCTCATACAGTGTGAGGCATGTTCCAGGATAGTGATAAAATGAAATAGCTTTTTGATCACCACATATTCACAATATCTAATTATGAAGGCTGGACCAGAAGGAAAAACAACTTCTGCACAGTAACATGCTATCAGAGATGAATGAACAGGGGGATATTTGAAAGCAGTCTCTCTCTCTTTTTCTGTCTCTCTTGCTCTCGCCCCTCTTGCTCTCTTTCTTTTTGTATCAGGTATTTATTGTGTTATTTTGGGTTAAATTGTTAACTTTATAATTGTATCCATAAGTGATGGGCTGGCTGATGGGCTCCATTCATTCATTCCTTCATTCTTTCATTCAACACAGTCATAACAATGTTATATTTGTGATCTTTAGAAATAACTGCAAACCAGGGATATTTAGACTGATGAGACTGACTGACGTGATGTGCATTACTTTTGGAAATATTACTCAACTCTCTGTCCTCTTGTATGATTTGACATTTGTTTTTGTTTAAAAAGAGGGAAAATAGCAATAATTGATACTATCAAATTGCAATACTTGTTGTGTCACAATGCTTCAGAAAAAATCTAATCAGGATCAAAACAAATCGGGGGACAAAAGCTTATCGACCCAGCCCTAATATTTCATTTGATGTATTTTATTAACTCTGAAGATTAATTGAACCTGATTCGGGCTCAAGCTTAAACATGTTATCTCAAATCAAAACTGGGACTTTGAGACCTTTAAAACAATTGTTCTTTGAGCATCAGATTTACCAAGATGAGATGTTTCTATGTTACATCTCAATGTATTACACTACAGAGCAACACTGAAACAGATGTCTGCATGTAGAGCTGTTTCCGCTCTACTTGATCCAACACTTACTATCATTTTTAATCTGTTTTATGACAAATGTATCACCACAGTGGGGAAAGCTGTCTTCTAGCTCCTCTGGCACCAAAATAATCCATTAGAGATTAAGAGTTTATTTCATGGAAGGGGAAGCAGAGGGGGTGATACACCCATGGCAAAGGCTACTACATGCCTCATTTTGTAACCATATCAGAGATTTATTGTGTTATGTTGTTAACTTTTGACATATTATTATTCTAATGAATATATGTTTGTTAATGCTAATAAATCCAAAGATCTGGTTTCATACTGGTGAGGCTTGGAGTGAATCTGTGTAACTGTTAAACCAATGACGGCACATGGTCATTGTTCTCTTTAGAAGAAAAACTAAACACACAATAAAAATGATTGTTGCTGCTATTGGTTTAAACAAAACCTGACTAATGTTTTAGGAACATAAAACCGGTCTTTCTCATCGCATAGTCTTTGTTTGTTTTGTGTGTTTTCTATGTGTGTCATTTTGTGTTGGTTCTTATGAATTGTGTATTTTTTCCCCACAGCAATCGCCTGACACTATTCCAGGACCGAGCACTGGACCTTCAGTAAACAAGGTAAGGCCCACGCAGGTGCACACACACACACACACACACACACACACACACACACACACACACACACACACACACACACACACACACACACACACACACACACACACACACACACACACACACCCACACCCACACCCACACCCACACACATGCGCACGCATGCATGCAAACATGCAAGCAGGCTTAAAGGTGATGTCCTCCTTCTGCGGAGGACATCACGGAGTTTACTGCGGAGGGAAAGTGTTTGTTTAACCTTCAAACAGATGACATAGGTGGTGATATTACCTTGGGCTTTTTCCAATTACTCAAACAAACATGCACATGCACACACAAACACGCGCACACACAAACACACACACGCACAAATAAAAGTCTTAATGTGCCATACATCACTTCATTGACTTACATACTTTTTTTGTATTTGAATAGATTTGGTGCATAAAGCAATCCATGCTTTTCAAAGTTTGGCCTTTAACTGTATCTTTGCACACCCACATCTTACCTAGAAACCTGAGTTCTTTTCAGGAGGTATTAGTCTAAAAACTGCTTACTAAAACCTGATTAGACCTGTTTGCTGAAAGCTTGATCAAGCAATAATCCATGGAGATGACTATAGATCATGATGACAATGGGTGGAGCTGCAGTATAAATTATAGGTTGGTTCTGATTTCCACCTCTTGGCTCTCTTAACTTTGTAAAAAAAAACTTAATTTAAGCTTTTTATTTACCACACCAAATGCTACCACAAAATGTGAAATGTAGCAGTTTTTAGAGCAGCTATATAGAAGAACAGGTTCCAGCAAAGGACAATAATACATGCTGTTTTTCTTGAAAACGAACACACCTGTGTTAACATTCAAGGTTCTGAACCTCAACACAGTGCATCTGTCCTCCAGGCCAACACACATTTAGAATGTATGGCTTTCTTTGTAAAAAACAGTCTTCTCTCATGCCTCTAGTTCCAATATATTTTGCATGCAATGATCTTCAGTAATGTGTTTTGTTTCATGTGGTTTTGCAATTGCATGTGTCTCATTTTCTTGCACATGCATGAGATGCAAACAAAACATAGCCTTTCTTCAATACCATACTTACCAATTTTTCTAATGGCTTAAATAATTCATGGGTTGCCTTAAATGCTTCAGAAAATACTCGATTTATCTTACTCGGCCTGCCTTCTATAAACGTTTATGTTTACTCAAAGTGCTGTCATTTTTAAAAAGCCAACCATATAGCCAAAAAGCTTGGCTGTAGATAGAGACTGTGTAAACAGCTTAATTGAAATATGGTCTTAAACACCCAAGCTTCAATAGCAGGATTATTGCGGAGCGTGTAGACACAGTCAATGTTTCATTCCTCAGGGGGAAAGAAATCGAGCTGTCCTTGTGAGTCGGTCAATGACAGCTGCATGAAGCCACACCACCGCTCTGCATCAAATGTGCATGTCTCATTAAGTGTTTGGATTTCTGTTTGGATCTTTAATCACATCAGATTTTAAAGCAGCAGTGCAAGATATGTTTCATTGATGTTCATTGTGTGTGTCAGTCTTGTTCGCAGAGTTTCCCATGTGCTGGTCGGACTGTGAGGAATGCCTTCCTCTCCAACGGACCGTACCCGGCCAAAGACAAGATACACCTGGCCAGAATCATACGGTACACTTGGTTTATGTGTTTGGTGTGTCTCTTGTGTCTGTCTGAGTGCAGGGATCAATCGATATGTCCGGTGAAGCAAAAACTTTGACTCACCAGTACCCATTAAGCCTCATCCTGATTGGTCCGTCAAGTTGTTTATGCAGTAAGACGAGCTAAGTGTGACGTAGATGGTCTGGCAAAACATGCAAACTCATTCAATATACAGCACATACACACACACACACACACACACACACACACACACACACACACACACACACACACACGGGAGGATTTTATCCTGGGGTGAAGCAGGTGGAAAGTATTCTGTGTTTTTAGAGGAAAAAGGCTTACTGAGAACTAATGAATAATCAATGCATATTGATTAAATAAAAACACAAGCTCGTGCTGAGGGAAGAAATGTGTGTATTTAAATGAGTGCTGAAAGTGTGTGTTTGTATTTCAACAGGCGTAGCTATGTTGGGGTGGAGCTGGTGCAGTGGCTGTGCGAGCAGTGTGTGTACGTGCGCTGTCGGACCACCGCTGTGCGCGTCTGGCAAGTGCTGCTGGAGCTGGGAGTCTTGCTGTCAGGTAAATCCCGAAACAAAAACACACATACATTCATGCACACACTTATTGAGGCGGTTATACTTTGTATCGATATCTGTTGGAACTGTCGAGGAACATCTTCTACTTTCAATAAATCTATAAAAAGGTAAACAATGAAACAGTTAATCATGTTACTTCCAATAGAATATAAATGTAAACTATTACAGAGCCTACAATACAATATGTCTTTATTCTATTAAGTCTGTGATATCATTCATAATATTTTTTATTCTGCCTGTAAAAACTACACTCAGTATGCTGTGCATGACAATTCCTTTCACAAAGGGTTTAATTTTCAAATGCAGTTAATGTTTCTTCAAAGAATGAGTAAGCTTTCCAAGTAGCTTTTGGACATTTGCTCAGATTCAGTTCATTGGACTGGCTAATCCGCAATCGCTGCTACAAAGAGTTTATCCAGGTTTTATTGTTGCCAACATGTCTTTTCTCTTCCTCTAGTGCTAAAATATGTGTCAACTTTAAACTACCATTGTGTGTCTCACCCTATTTCTCAAATCATCTTGATTAATCACACTAATAATAAAATCATAATGGAAGGTCACACTTTTCCTGCTTCAAATCTATAGGGACAAAATGTTTTTTTTTTGCTTTTTAACAAATGCATCATCTCTTTATTGCTTTTCTAAAGCAAAGAGCAGCAACTTGAATGATTTCCTTAACAGTCGTCCTGATTATCCATTGATTCAGTATAATTTGAGGCGTAAAAAAACAAGCATAAATAGTATTAATTTCAAGGTTATGAGAATTAAGATAAATTGTAATGCAACAACTAAACTTATTTCTAAGCAGTAGGGTTTGTTATCTGTTTAAATTTCATTAAAATTGATAACTTTGTCTTTTTGGCGATTCAGAAAGAAATGCTGAATTAGATAAGGGAGCTAATGTGTCCTTAAACTGTACCTTCCAACCTTTAATAACACTGGTGGTTTGATAAGTGATGTCATCATAGATTTTTGTGTGTGTTTGTGGCCTTATTTTCTCCAGTGGACCAGCGGGTGACGTTTTCAGACTCAAACTCTTACTACCAGTTCAGCTTTGAGGAATGTGACTCCGCCTCCTGTGAGTTTCGCTCCAATGAAGGGGAGTGGCCAGAGGCAGTTAGGCTCCTCCTACAACTCGCCCCATACGTCCAGTTCCGCTCTGGAGGTGGATCCAACAGCCCGTAAGTGTCCATTACACTTCGATAGTGAGTTATGCTGTGAGGTGGATGATATAGTTTTAAAGGACAACACCATTAGCTGTGACAATCTTCAACTATCTTTACGTCCACCGACTAATTCAAGTTTCTAGCTAGCAGGTAAATTCAGATTCTTTGTAAGACGGGTTAGATTTAAGAGAAAATAAAACTTTATGTTTCTAAAATTATACAAACACCTTACTGTCTCAGAGATGATCTGCTGTCTTAATACCTTCGATGTACACACATGATGTGCAGACATGCACAGTGTTAGGTCAAAGACGTAGTATGGCTTCTTTTTTATACATGCAGCAACACCAATAGGCTGGATTAAGAAAAGAAGACAGTTTAGAAATGTAAAATCATACATAATGAATATTCAATTGTATCAGTGCAGCTGTATTTTGAGGAGTTTTTTTTTAACTTTCATATAACAAGTGGATAAAACTGGATACTGGATAAAAAACAGTTATACTCTAAGTCATATACTTTGGTTGTTATAAATTATATAAGTTAGAGGTTTCCACTGCTGTCACTGAGTCTCTCTGTCTTTGAAGAATGTTAAACTTTTGCCGAATGTGGATCATAGTTGACGGAAAATGTGACAAAGTTTTGAAGTACTTGGCGTTGTCCATTGACCTGAAGTAGAAGCTCACTGCTCTGATAAGATATCAAAGTTGAAGTGACAGTGTTTCCGTTCACATTTAAGATTGAGGTCAATTGTCTGTCTGATGATTTACTCTGAAATGTGACAAGTGACCGGGTATTGGGAGATGTTTTTAAGCTCATGCTTGCAAGTACATTACTCTTTTGCAACTTTATAGACGCTCACACACGCACACACATACACATACACTCTCTCTTAAATATTTTTCAAACCCCAGCTTGAAACGTAATCTCTATTCACTGTTTTAAATCCTCGATCTGCTTATGTGAGAGACATGTTCATGTGTAGGCGCAGACACCTCCACATCCTTAGCAAAAAATACACTCCTGCACAAAAGACTGCCACATGATACGATCACTGATAAACATGACACAGGCTCTGCACACACCCACATGCCGAGCAGTGTCAGCCAGAGTTCCCTGCCTTGCTGCTACTGTGTGTGGGATTCCTGCTGAGGCTGCTCCTGAACTCAATCTGTCACTCAGAGGGAGAGAGAGAGTGAGATGGGTGCTGGGTGGGGACAGGGGGAAAAAAAAAAAGAGTATATATGCAGAGCGAAGGAACAAGAGCACGCTTCTACACATTCATCGGAGTGTCGACTTCAAAGTGCGTATTCACAGAAAGGAGAGGTAGAGGAAGACAGCAGGGGAATTGAATGTCATACCTACTTATATAAAACTCATGTATCTTACTGTACACGCGCCTATGTTCTCCATCAGCTACTTTATGTACAGTAAAGTGGATGACATGCCAACTTAGAGGAACTCAACCATGGTGTCTCCACGGGTTGGCAGGGTGCAGAGGATTTAGTTGGAGAGAGGTTTTGAGTTGAATGCTTTTACCCACTGCTGGTAAGGATATAGAAGGATATAAAATATATCAATCACCCTTAACTATTTGAGTAGATGTAGTAAATGTAGAATATACTGAATCAGCTCAATATTTTGACTGCTAGAAGTGCAGCTTTCCCTTTTAGTAGATTAGACATCAATGAGATTTAGAATTTAACACTCTAGCTCTCTGTCACTTGGACCCTGCTGCTGTCTGTGTTTTTGAATATCACACCATTTCTCTTCAGGCATCCTCTCTCTCTCTCTCTCTCTATCTCTCTATCTCTCTATCTCTCTATCTCTCTCTCTCTCTCTCTATCTCTCTCTCTCTCTCTCTCTCGCTATCTCGCTATCTCTCTCTCTCTCTCTATCTCTCTCTATCTCTCTCTTTCTCTCTCTCGCTATCTCTCTATCTCTCTCTCTCTCTCTATCTCTCTCTCTCTCTCTCGCTATCTCCCTCTCTCTTCCTCTCTCTCTCTCTATCTCTCTCTCTCTATCTCTATCTCTCTCTCTCGCTCTCTTCCTCTCTCTCTCTCTCTCTCACTGTCTCTCTCTCTCTCATTGATGTAAAGGACAGAAGTTGTTGCTGTGAGGGGAAAACACCTGATGTAACTCTTTCCAAGGGCCTTGGTGGAGCATTTCTTCTAAAACACTATTCCATTTTTTAACCTTGAATCTTGTTAACATTTTTACAATGAGATACAATTACCTTAAGGCTGATAAACTGCTGAGATTTAAATAAAATTCTGGCACTGCGCACCGCCTCAGAATGTCTGAACATGCTCAAATATAGAAATGGTCGTTAAAACACCTGTTATAGTCTTGTTCAGCAATGCTCATGGCGGCCTCAGGGTGCTTGAACTCCAATTTCTTTGGAGACGAGTGAAGTTCTCCCTGGATTCATAAAATTAAGATAGAATACAGTAGTACAATGCAGAAATATATATCAAATAATTGTTAATATTATTTGCAGAATATATCAAATATAGTGTTTTTTAAATTCTTATCATTAGAATGTCTTTACCCATAAACGGGTCTTGCTGCACCATATCTGATTGGAACAGGTTTCTTATCATGATCTTATCTTCAATATGCAAGCAGGTCCATTCATAGTTAGGATTTATGTGCTTACATTAACCTGTGGCGTTGTTACAAAATTTCACATTTTAGATTTACACTACTTCTGAAGGAGCTGAAGCAAGATTAGAAATGCCTCCAGGTGTAACTGATGGCTGTTCTCCTCATGAATTATGTTACCTGTCTCTTGCTGTGGTTTGATAAAATAATGCAAGAATTAATTAGATAATGATAGCTTGATACATGATGATCAGGCAGCATTACCAGACTGCTATGCCTCCTAGCGATTTCTGCTAAAGTGAAGCCTGAGATCAGCAGGCTATTAATTAAATGGGTTTTGTCCTGCGTATCATGTGCAGAAGAGGTTTCTCAGTGTGTGTCATTCATTTCATATAAACACTGCCAGCATGTCTCAAAGGTTTGCTGTGTCTGAGCAATAATACTCGCTGCAAGGCGCACTGCGACCATTAAAGTTGATTAGTTTGTTGAACATTGTTCTCCGCAGTGCTCATCAGAAACAAACGTTGTTTTGTGGAGTAGGCTACACTTAATGAGAATCTCAAGCAAGTTCTTAAACTTCAGCTTCATGTATTACATTACCTTAAACTTAAGCGAGTGAGTCAAACATTATCATACAAAAAACCCTTCTACCATGATGCCTTTGCTTGGCTCCCTCTCTTAGCTCAATTTTAGATCCAATTCAGTTTCAAACGAATGACCTTTAACGGTGTCTCCGTCTCATTTTCTCTCGCTTCCACTTTGCCTCATGTTACAGCAGGCCTAAAACCTGCATATTTAGTGCTTTTTAGAAGAGCTGCGTAAGGAGAAGGCATTAAAGTTTAACTAAATCCTGCACACTGCCCTTGCAGGAGAGGTCACCACATTGGTTCATTTTAACATTTATTACAAGCCATGGTAAGCCTTTTGTGTGAACCCTGTCCTAGAGAGGTTCATGGTAAGATATCACCGCTATCCTTTCAAAAACTAAATGTTTGCCTCTATTTTTTTGTTGACCTTTTTATATAATGGATTCAATCTTTTAGACAAAAAATAAAATATACAGAGGCAGCAACATGAACACCCACTTAATATTATACAACTCTTACATATTATGTGCATTTTTGGCTATATGGTAATATTTTATTGGAAACATTGATAAACATATAACATTAATGATGCACACAAACAAGCACACACTGCACTTCGACACTTTTTAATGTTATTCAAGTCACCAAAACAGAAAGCGAAAGGGTTTTATTTCGTATTATATTACACAATTTTGATAGTTTAAATAAATGACTGGAAATGGTTTTCTGTGTGACCGTAAAGATCTCAACAAACGACATTTACTCCTAACAAGGCCACCTCTTTATTCCCACATTATCCTGTATATTATATACAGTAATACCTCTATACATACAGCCTTCATTCATATAGTCTCCGGTGGCGTCAGTAGCTAACAATCAAGCTGACGGTTTTCCTTCAGTCTTCTTTGCTTATCAGTGTGCAGGGGATGCAGAACTGCCAGGAGCTTAAATATGACACCTTGGCTTCAGAGGAGAAAACACTCTTGCTTGCTTTGCAGAAGGCTCTGCTCCAAAAAAAGGGCAAAAAGCTAAACATCAGAGACCGGGCAGAATGCTGAAGGAACAGTTTGGATAGAGACGAAGGCAACAAAAAAATCTCACTGTTTTTAACAGAGATTACATTCTTCTTATCTAACATGCAAGCTTTACCCTGTGTTCGAGCACTCACAGGCCTACTAAACCACAGAACATGGCTGCAGGTTTTCATGGTGGGAGGCGTTGCGAGCACCAATCATGTTAATGCTCTATCGATACCACTCTGTGTTGCTTAATGATCGCTGACACGCCCCCCACTGTGCATATCCTGCAGCTCTGCTACATTCAGGCTCATGGTGAGTCAACAAATTACCAAATGAATGCAGACTGAAAAAAAACAACAACTTGATGACCCTGATGAGAAAGAAATATCATGATGACTGAGGAGAGATATTTAACATCTCATGAGAATGAAACAAAGAACTACACTAGTAAAATGATAATTTTCCCCAGTCAGGTTTTAGAATATTTGTCCTATTTTAAAAGAGAGTAAAGTTTTGTTGTCCATAAATATTAGAAGGAAAGCAAAAATATATGTTTTCAAGCTTTCATTTTCATCTCATTGCATCTGCTGGACCACCTGATTCTCTCTCTCTCTCTCTCTCTCTCTCTCTCTCTCTCTCTCTCTGTCTTTTTGTGTCAGAGCAAATAGCTTAAGTGTCAGGTTGGGCTTATGTTATCATTTTCTCTCCTGCTCCTGCAGCTCTCATTCCTTTGTCAGATTACAGTTCACAAAAAGACACACACAATCATACATGCACATCATACACACAGTCACAAAATGCTTCTTTATTTTCCATTACTATTACTAGTGCCACTGGGATCTCTTGATAAAATCCAAATTGTATGCAAATGATCTTTGTGTGACTGTGTGTGTGCAGAGGTGAGGCAGTGTGTGGGAGACCATTCCAAACATTGTTTTTAAAGAGAACGTATTAGATGAGGCACCCTCGGGTGCAGTTTTCTGCTGTTGAAGACAAACCGTACAACCTTGTGTTATTGCTGTGAGAATAATGTCGAGTTTACCACCAAAACAACCCCCTGCTTGTACAGCAAACACACACATACGCTCTAATGTCGTTAAACACTTCTCATCAAGAGTCACACATTAATGGAAGGGTGTGAGGGTGTGTCTGGGAGCTTTTTTAAATCAACCCACATGAAAGCGAGACAGGGGGAGCAGAGAGATTCTTCTTACAAAAAATGGGAGCTGTAAAAATACAAGAAAGACCGACCGTAGGGAAAATAAAACCAAGAGTTACAACTCTGTCAAAAAGACAAAAAAATCACTCTAGAAATACTCTTAGTTTATCATGTTAACGGCTGCAATGACCGATCTCTTTGTTATATTTGTTCAGTCAATAAAATGTGAAAACACATGTTAACGTCTTCAAATGTTTTTAAATTGCTTGCTTTGTCTGACATAATGTTAAAAGAGCTGCAGAAATTCACATTTTGACAACATCGAAGACTTTTCAACTGTTAAATTTAAATTAAAAAGGTAATGATATAAATTGTGTTGTAATGCATTGAATATTTTTAGCAGTGAACTGAACAAAAAAAGTAATTTGTCATCTTCATCTGCCTTATTTTGCGACCTTATTTCTCCCTGATTTTTCCTCAAAGAAACCAGGGAGCATTTCTTATAACTGGATACATAGTTGTTGTTTCTTCACGCAAAGGGTTAAATACAAAACTGGCTACTGTTGACTTGTATCATTATAAATATTGAAATGCAGAAAGGTCTTTACTTAAGAACATCCAGCTGGTACAGTCGATGTGTTTTTGACTGCCTTCTCCTCTGTGTGTACTAGGGGGCGATGTCGAGAGGACCAAAGTGTCTGCTCAAAACTTTTCCTCTGGTGAATGTTTGAACACGATGAAGCACATGTCAGCTGCATTGTAAAAGTGTGTGTGTCTGTGTGTTTCTGTCTGTCTCAGGTCAGAGGAGGACTCTGAAGGCAACAGGGACATCTGCGGTGAGATCCTCCAGATGAAAGCTCTTGAGAGGCTCACTTCTACGGTCAGTTTGAGCCTGTGTGTCTCAAGATTTGTAAATAAATGATCCACAGGCGCTGATTCATTACAATATAACTTACTCCATTTAAAAAAAAGTTTTTGTATTCTGTCCCTTATTTGACACTTTTTCCCCCTGCAGGTACAAAGTGAGCTGGCAGCAGCTCTGGCCCGCAAGACTCGCAAAGCTTGTAAGTTTACATGAAGTGGCTTTTCTATTACTTCAATGTGATCAAATGGAGTGACAGAGAGTGGCATGAGAGTGAAGAAAAGAGTGAAGAACTGTCATTGATTACACATCTTTTTGTTTTGTTTGCTTCAGTATCAGAGCAGGACTCTGAGGCGACAGAGACGAGCCAACAGGAGCCTCGCACGCCAAGCGAAGAGAGCAGCCCGGTAAAATACACTCACCCAAAAACAGACACTCCTACTCAAATCATTTTGCTGCCAAGCATGATTCTTCACTTTATTTAAGCTGATTGCCAATAGGGCTTAACATTTAGTTCATTTCCCTGAGAGGGTAAAGTAGGTCCTTAACATAGAAGGTCAATTAAATCATACTAAGATTTTATTTTTAGATTTACAGAGAAAAAAGCATGCGTTCAATCGAGCTTGTAGTTATGTACACTTTGAGGCAGTCTGTAATTGTATAGACATTAAAATGTGAACGAGCTCTCTTTATACTCGACGTTTAAAAAATGAAGTCAAAAGGCTTTTTTTTTAACCACTCGCCGCTTACAGAGGAGTTCTGTGTTTAATTTTCCAAAATGCATGCAAACAGATGCTGTCACTGTGAATATCATTAATTGAAAAAAGTGGATGCTATTAACTTTGCCTCCCTTCTCTGCAGGTTGCTTACTCAAAGCAATGCAGTGTTTTAAGTGTTTTTATAAAAGGATAAACTCAAGTTTTTTGACAGCTTTTGTTATCTAAATTACTCTAAATTCATCACACTGATTCTGACTGATAAATTAAAATACAACTTGATCATCTCTAAGACAAAGCGGTTGACACAGATTAGTTAGAGACATCCATATCAACAGATCATAAATATTCTGATTACCTCTCTCTTCCTGAGAAGGTACCTGAGTACATTTGTGTCCATGTGTTCTCTCTGTGAGGATGAACCTACAAAATGAGGTTATAAAAGAGCTCATAGGAAGGCCTGATTTCCGCTGTACATTGGAAGCCTCTTTTTTTTCAATCAATTATTCATTTTCTGATTACGTTAGAGATGAGAGGGAGAAAACAGAATAGAAAATTCTTAAAGGAAATGTGTATGTTATTTTAACCTTATCTATATCATAATTAGTTCCAAATAATGAAGAGATGCAGTGAGGCAGGGACCTCAAGGGAGGGACACCAAGACTTTTTGGCCCCTCACTTTCAGATGTTTGGGTAATAAAGTGGTAATAACATTTAAAATAGACATTCAGTCATACTGATAATGTCTAAGTATCGTCTTATGTATTTGACCTTCATATCCAATCATATCTGCTCCCGTGGTGAGAAGATGGAGCACATTTCTCACCACATTGTAGTTTTAAAAATACCGTAAACTAACACTTTTTCTTGAATGATGTGTTTATTTTGAAAACACATTTACAGCTTATTGAGATGTTGTAGTACCAGGTGCTTGGTGGTTGAATATGACACCAATGATCACTTACTTTTATATCAGTTCAGTGATCTCACAGCTCTGTTTTGTAATCACACATTTTTTAATTGTATGAATTATCATTCATGCTATTTGAAATAAGTACAACTTAAGACTCCTGGTCAACATAGCCAATCATGAGTCAAGATCAAATATCTTATTTTGGGTGTCTGACAACAAAAACTGGAACACTTTCAATATAAACCAGGAATGTAAAGATCAATACATAGGTTGATAGGATTCATCCTCCTCCTTTGTTTAGTTTATCTGACATAATTAGAAGGAGAACAACCAAACAAATGGTCAATACATTTTCAGTTTTGCTTCAGCCTGCTGAAAATGTAAGTTCTTCGTTGATCTCAAACACCATTGCTCAAAGAAAAATAAAGTGAGCGACAAAAGGAGGTAGACGGAGACAGCCACACAAAACAACTACCCACAGACACAGACATGTTTATCTCACAGTGTTCTGTGTGTGGGACAGGAAGTTAAAACAGGTTGACAGGAAGTAGAAAAGGACAGGGGGTCCGAGACTGATGTAACAAATTTTGTGTGTGTGTGTTTGTGTGTATGTATGTGGCTTTTCTAGAAGATAACAGTTAAAGTCATTAGGGGGAGTTTTCCTCGTAAACAAAATGAAGCGTGGGAGTATGCCATCGTGTTGTGTGTGCGCGTGTGTGTGTGTGTGTGCGCGTGTGCGTGTGCGTGTGCGTGTGCGTGTGCGTGTGTGTGTGTGTGTGTGTGTGTATGTGTTGGCAGCGTGGGATAGTTGAGCTCACAGGAAGGGTTAAACAGATCTGAGCCAAATGAAATACCCTTCTTTGCCTCTTCCAAGTAAAACAAACAGACCAAATGCCCATCATGGGTGATAACCATCATACTTGCAGCACCCAAGGAAGCACACACACACACGCACGCACGCACGCACGCACGCACACACGCACGCACGCACGCACACACACACACGCACACACACACACACACACACACACACACACAGAGGTCTATCCAAGGACAAAGCCATTAGTTTCCAGTTTCCTAAAGCTCTTTTAATTAAAGGCATTGTGTCTTTCTTTTCTGCCTTTATCTTTTTTTTTCCAAGTCTTTTAACATGTATGTTTTTTTTCCCCTTTTGTTCCGTTTTTAAGACATCACTGTTTTGTGTTTTTACACTTTTTTCACATATTATTAATTCCAAAACAAAATAATATATAAAGTTGAACTATGCTTTGGTAACTGTAGCTGCAATTGATATCCATATCCAATCACTAATCCCCATCAGTTGGAATTCATATGAATGTATTTACCCCTGATTTATATTAGACTACATGAATTCATATCATTAATACACTTTAAAATACTTAATCCCTGGACTTAAACAGGAAAGAGCTGGAAGTTGGGCTCTATTTTTTTTGTGAAAGGAAAAAATAAAATTAGAATACTTGTGAAGATTGTGCAATTGACAGATATACTGAAAAGACTATAAACAATAAAAGAGAAGAAAATTATTTGACCAGTTTGCTTAGAGAATCTGAAAGTTTCTCAAAAAGGTCCCGTCACATTTAAAAAAATGTGTAGTGACAGTTTCCACATTGTTTTTAATCTTTCTGTCTGCTCAGTTGGGCTTCAAGGATGGCTATGTTTGTAAGTCTGAACTGTAGATGGGAGGAGGCAGACACATGAGATCACACACACACCCCTTACTACACACACCGTCGTCCCACACAGACACATTCCCGCCCACTTACACTACTAATCACACACACTCACTCTTTCTCCAGCAGATCCTCTGACACAGAGCACTCAGACTGAGACAAAGAGAGGTGTAACAGATAGAGGGAATTACATCCTAATAGATTAATAAAAAAAAGTGAGACAAGGGAGAATTAGAGATAGAACAGAGAGAGCAAGGATAATTCTTTTATCTCATTCTCCTCACATGGACATAAAGGGGTAGCTGAAAACGTGCCCCTGCTGCAACTTTTGACTGTTTCCATCATGTCCTGGGACTGTGGGTTGAGATATGTCTTCATGCCTCCTGTATTTCAGCTGGGCGGGGTGTGTGCATTGCGGGATGCTGGCGGCAGCGTTGGTGGCGGTGGCGGAGGAGTGGGGACCGTGTGTGGGCGCGAAGACCTGACCAGCCGGCTCGGGCTGGAGGCCGTTCAGCGACTGGCAAAGGACGGCTGTCGGCTGTTGCAGAACCACAACTACAGGCTGCCAGACAGGAACCAGGCGGTGAGTAGAGAGGGTAGCAGAGGGTTTATTTGGAAACATCACTTATTTTGCAGTATTTTTGCAGGACCGATGATTGTTTTTTTTTTGGTGAACTTCATGGTCTTTCCCTGTGTAATCTGCAGAGTGAGTTGTGGCTGGATGGTTAGCATAGTACAGAGGAGTAGACGTCATTATGTGGTCAGGATTGTCGTCACTTTTAAGCTCACACTTCAGGTCTAGGTTACTCATGGAGTAAATCATCATCAGGACCATCCTGAATGATACACTCACATATGCAAGTTTACGGTACACATATTCTCCCTTGCACATAATCTGAGAACATGTTAAATTGTCTTTGCAAATGCAAAGAGTGTCGCTTCATTGAGATCACTTAGGATGAAACAACCAGCCGTCCTCCAGCTAGTCTTATGTGGGTGTTAATAATGGCTCAGTGCAAAGTGATCTCACAATCCTTTCACAGTATGTCAAGTGCTGCGTGTGTGTCTATGTCCACTTGTGTATGAGTCTGGCGGCTACAGCTTATAATCATGTGTGGGAGCCCGTGTCGGTGTGTTCATACCATAGACACTGTTCGTGCTGTGGCAGGCTGAGTCAGTGGGTGCGCATAATGAGTGGGATGTTAGTGAAGCGTTGTACTGTATAATCCTCCTCTACAGTACACCTGAGGGCAGGAAACCAAGCGAGGACAGTCTGATTTCACACTCGCATCACCAGGCGAGAGTTTGAGAAGTTAACTCAGCCTGGTGAGTGGTGCTGAAGCTCAGGGGATCTACCAAAGTGTCATTTTACTTGGTTCTCTTTGATATACAAAAGTATGAAATTATTGTATCTTTAGCTGAAAGGAGATTTGTGTGCAACATTATGTTGAATATAGATGACTTAATGGAAGCACTTTGTGTGGATGTGTCGTTGTGTATTTCTAATTGTATATGGGATAAAAAGTATGGGCAGCATTAGTAACAGCTGATGGATGAAAAGATGCACATAAAAAATATCTCTGAACACTCTCCAAATCTAATGTATGTATTGCTCATGTCTGACTTTGATTAATTATCAGTCTATATATATCTTGTTTATACAGAATAGTTGTCACACATGTTTTTGTTTTTTTGCCCAATCATTGTGAAATTCAGGCTTTAAACTGCAGCAGAAACCAAAACCAAGCAAAACAGCTCTCTTCACCACTCTTCTTTATCTGGTTGTCATGGTAATTTTTTTTTTTTTTTTTTCCCAGTGACAGACACGCTCTGACAAACTGGTGTGGGCTGTTTCCATAGTGATATAACACACTTCCCGTGTTTCAGCTGCATCTCTGCCTTCTTCTCTTTTCATATGTTTGCATCTGTGCCTTTTTTAGTTACCCTGAGGTAAACCTACAGAGGTAGGCTTTTTTGGGATGCTTCTGTTACTTTCCCATAGTTGAGGAAATTACACAACATTACAATATACGTGTGCGAGTGTGTCTTTGTGCTGATATGGTTGCAGATTATGTGCACCGTTCCCTGTTGACCTAAAAGCATTGTGTTTTCATTTTCTTATCCATTATTTCCAGGAATCTGGCCCAGAGCTATCACAACATAGATATGGCTTTGTTGCTATCAGTGCAGACACACACACACACACACACACACACACACACACACACACACACACACACACACACACACACACACGTACACACAGGAACGGGAAAGGGAAAGGGAACACAGAGTGCTTCCTTTAGGCATGCTATGAGGCCCACCTTTCCTCTGTACAATTTGTCATATTTTGTGTGTCTGTGTGCGTCTGACAAAAGTCTGATTTTGTAAGGGGCAGAAGAGGTTTCCTATCGTTCTTTTCTTTTTCAGTGCTCACATTGAACTCTTTCAGTTTGTCTAGCTGTGTGTCTGTGAGTGAGAGGGAGAAATGTGTTCATGGTTTATGACCCTGTGAGGGGCACAGCAAGTGCATGTCTCTGTTTTCCAAATCTCAAACCTCTAGAGCATAAAGTCTGACCATTCAAAGGCAGAGACAGAGAGAGACTCTGCTGGTGCAAAGTGCGAAGAGGAAACATAAAAATTGTAGAGGGGAGACGGAACGAAGGGAAGGGTGGAGATGAAGTGTGAGTACAGATAGTTGAATTGGAGGAAGGGATGGGGAGAAATGGAAGGAAGGAGACCGAAGCACCTGTTAGGTGAGAACAAGTGGCTGCCCTGAGAACTGACCTTAGAAAAGTTGTTATGGAGGTCTGTAGATACCTGATATGAATGTTTTAGTCCTGATCTACAGCAGGACGGAAAGTCAGACCTGATCTTTGACCTGCTTTTGATGGATTTAAACTGTGACAGGAAGTATTGCATAACTGCTCATTTTGATTTGTCTAAATACCAAAGTCTGGCATTGATGTTCCCATCAAGAACTGTCTTTGTTGATTGAACATACATTTCAATTCAGACTACTCTCAAGTTAAGTAAACACTCAGAGCACAGTCGAAATTGAGCATAATTTATTTAACATAACAAAACACTGTTCAAATCCATATCGCCTGTAGCCTCAAACCGTATATCACGTTCTCATGAAACTAATGGCTGTTTTAAATTCCCCTGTAATGTGTGCAGTGTTTCCCCTACCATTATATTGGGGGGGGGGGGGGGGGGTTGGAATCAGGGAAAGAAGTCATTTAAGGATACCTTTTCAATAGAAAAGGACAGCTGTCATTAAAAGTAACCCATAAACACCAAGATTCCTTCAAGTGTTTGTGTCGTCGTGTCGGCATGTCGGCTTGTCCCCACCCCACAACGCTGTAAACCTAGGGGAAACACTGGTGTGGCACTTTGCAACATGCATTAATCTGCAGGTAATCCATGGGGGGGGGGGGGGTTGGAATCAGGGAAAGAAGTCATTTAAGGATACCTTTTCAATAGAAAAGGACAGCTGTCATTAAAAGTAACCCATAAACACCAAGATTCCTTCAAGTGTTTGTGTCGTCGTGTCGGCATGTCGGCTTGTCCCCACCCCCACAACGCTGTAAACCTAGGGGAAACACTGGTGTGGCACTTTGCAACATGCATTAATCTGCAGGTAATCCATGACAAGTTGGTTTGCTGAGTGTGGCTAACATAAACAGAGCTATAGCACCACCAACCTTCAGTCCTGCTTGGAGGTGAACGTCCACATGCCTGTGCTGTATGTGGTTACGCATTACTCGGGTTGAGTGGTTATATGTCAATATATCTGCCCTGCTCTTACGAGATGCCATCCATCCACTGTGCTGGTTCACATCTGGGCAGTAGAGCAGGGAGCAGTAGTGTCTGGTGGCTGCTTTATGGTTACAGACGCAACATCTAACCCGCATTGTGGAACTACATTATTAAATATTTATAATGAATTTAACCGACTAGTAATTCTGCTGCAAGGGAGGGTGATGATATCCAAACAGTTTTTGCAAGATTTTCTCTTTTCTTTTTTTCAAACAGCTATCAAATATATTCCTTAACATTTGAAAATGTTTTTTGATATAAACCACATTGAACACAAAGGTTTACTGTTTTTGCAGTTCTACCTCTCTTCTCACTCCCAGCTCCTAACCCTCCTCTGTGTCTCTCACTTTCTGTCCTGCTCTCCTGCCTTTCATCTTGCTTTCTTTTCTTGTTCCCTCTCTTCTGTGTTGCATAACTGTCTGACCCCACCTCACCACAGTGTTCAAGTGCATACTTCGTATATTTTCCCTTCAGATGACTTGCATTCTTTCTCAGACTTAATTTATGTTGTTCTTGGACGCTTCTGTTTGCACTTAACTCTTCAGAGATTATTTGTGTGTGAAAATGCTAGAAAAGCACAAATAGTTACATATAGTTGGAATGTTAAGAGTTATTCTTGTGTTGGTGTATTTATGCAAAGCCTCTTGATTTGTGTGTGTGTGTGTGCATGTGCGTGTGTGTGTGCAGCCTTCCTCTCCTTGGCTCTGAGTTGTTTTTCTTGGCATCAGTGTAAAGGGTGTGAGTGTGTTATCAGAAAGATCAACTATTTGCTACTGTATCAAGAACACACACTTCACAGCACTTTCTTTTCCTTTTGTTTTCATAGTAGTTACTGAAGTACTGGTTACATAATCTCCCTTTTTCTCTTTTTTTCCACTGCTTTTTTTTTTGCACAATAATTCATTGTGAAATAATTGATGTTCTGGACAGACAGGAAAGGACAGAAGAGGTGAGGTGAGACGTATGAACATGTTTGAAATCTAGAAGATGAGATCTATTGGCAGCTCTCTTTTAGACCACATAGCCACCAAACTTCTGATCATAACATCACATATGGGCTGCAGGGCGCAATCTGGGTGACAGCCCAAAATGTAATTAATGGCATGCAGTGTCAGATCGGTTTACATTAGGCATCACTGTCTTATTTATCAGCTGTAAGCATCTCTGTGTTGTTAATATTTGAGGACTTCCTCTCAGCAGGTTACATAATAAAATGGTAATGATATTGTGAAAGTAAACATGCTGTAAAAGAGCATGCAAGTTCTCTCTACTCGCCAATTATGAAGTCCTGTGAAGGATCATTTTTAGCAAGCTTTATTGCAAAATAAAACTTAAGTACACGACTGAGGGTTTTTTTGGAGCTGTTGTTGATGTATGTCATCACTATTTTTTTCCTTTCACTAAAACACATTATGGTAAATCATTTTACAGAATAACAGAACATTTACAGAATGCTGTATCATATATAACCAGTGTGTGTCGTATGGCTTGATTATCAGGAGACTGATTATAAAGACATTTTGAAATTGCAATTTAATTTACTGCAATGGGGATCATAAATCTCCTGAGCAATTTTCATTTAGCCTCAATCTTGACATCCCCTGTATACAAAGCGGCACGTCTAATCTACAACTCACTGTTAAACTTTCCCCTGAAACAGTCAAACAAAGGGTGATCCTGTCATTGAAAAATAACTATAGCAATAGTCAATGTTGTTGCTGATGCCTGTTTGGATTTTGTTTGTCATTAAGAGGCACAAGTATTCATTTCCGTCTGTTTCCTAATCAGCATGAAATCTCCTCACAAGTTATCTAAGCATAGTGGAAGATGCATTAGAGTCTTGAAGAAGTCGGTGAGCCGCCATGAACACCTTCAGTTTTGTTTTCAAATGCTCAGCCAAGACAGAGCTCTGCTATGTGGAAGTATTAAGAGGGGGCAAGTGTTTTTGTCTTTTTTTCCGCTATAACCTTTGAACTACCTGAACATCCCTACAGTGACTCATTATAAGCTGTCAAATTGAAGATAGATATTCTGTTTTTCAGCTGCGAGTGTTATATCATCCTGTCTTTTGACAGTTATGTAGACACAGGCAGTTACGAAACACTTAACTGAAGCTTGAAGTAAGTTTATATGGAAAACCCCAAGACCACAAATTAGCCTCAAATAACCTCCACCCTCAAACCTTTGATCCAGATAAGGACACCCCCCCCTCCAAAAAAAAGAAAACAACTCTTTGATGCAGGGAAAATATAGAAGCATCTGGAAAGATAAAGTCAAATTGCACTGTAAAGCATTTACTTTCATTTTATTTCAGGAACTTTATTAAAATGACTTTATTAAATAAGGGCGGACAAGCACAAATCCTTTGGCAGAGTTGTAGTTAAAAGGCATCCAAATGTGAGATAATGTTGTATTTAAGCAGAGTTAGAGAAATCAGACACATACCAACAAACCTGTAGAGGAGAAAGATGATCTACTGTAAATCTTTGATAAGAACATCTGTATAATACTCCAGTGTATGAGTCATCAGGGCACGTCGACACACAAACACACGGTGCACTTTGGGCATGTTGTTGTGTCTGACCCGAGCAGAACCCAGCTGCTGTCTCTGAGGATCAGACAACTCCTTTCATCGGACCATTACACAGATAGCGTGAGTGCATGTTTGTATGGGTGTGTTTGTGTTTACTTGTTCATGTCAGCGGGTTATTGACATGTATTTGTGTCTTACTGAGGTATCTCTGGCTGCGTTAGAAGTGCTCTGCGTTAGGGCTCCATGATGTCTAAAACAGAATCATGGTTCTCAGTCTTATCACAGTTATTGAATACTACGCTGTTGACAGTTTAAATTAACTTCTGGATTTTTTTCCAATAAAGCAAACACAAGTCTGAGGAAGAGCATGTTGGCTCGAAACGTCACTTATCATTGAATCCTTTAAACGGGAGCTTTTTGGTGTGCGGATCTTGTTAGCTTTACTTTACCTATTCGTGTTTTTGAATTTTTCAACAAAGCAAACACTCACATCTTCAGGATAATATATAATGCTGACATTTAAATGTGTTTCTGTTATCGAAACTATTTGAGAAGTCTCCATTGAGACCTAAGGCAGGATCGTGTATCTGTTGGGATGGCAGTCATACCACAGCAATAATATTTAACACAGCTGCCACAAGCAACTTCTGTTCAAGAGGAGAAAAAAAGAAATGATTAGAAGTACATTATCAAAATGCATTATCAAATATCAATTACACGAGTGTGATGCTGGTGGACAACATAACTTTAGTCAAAGCTTGCAAAGTGTTGGTATGCAGAGATGTCCTATGTCCCATTTTAAAGTAATAATGATCACGTAAATGTGAAGACAAACATTAAAAACACGTGTTATGTTAGCTTCGCTGTCTTCTACTATGAAAGCAATCATATCACATTCATGGATTGTATTGTGTATTTTGTGTGCATGCGTGCTTGCGTGCGTGAAGTCGCTGCTCAATTTAAAGTCATTTCAAGTGTCAGCCACATTCCTAGTTGTCCTCATTGTTATTAATTACAAAGCACCATTTCTCCTGAAGGCAGGAAACGTAATACTTCCCTTTGATAGTGCCAGCTGGATCTGCCTGTGCATGTTCTGATTACTGACCGGGTGTGTGTGTGTGTGTGCTGCTTTGACTGTGAGCAGGAGAAATATTGTCATAGTGAAAGGCTTTGAGACTAGAGCCCAACTTTTATCCTTGCATATTTTTGTCTCTCTTTTTTTTTTTTAAACATAAGACGTTGCATAATGTCTTTGATTCACAAAAGCTCCCGTGATGAACTTTTCATTTGTTTCAGTTTTGGCACCCTCAGTGGACAAAGCGGTATCTCTTATATCTTTGCTTATCTTGATCCTGTACATGCATAGGTTATGTGTCCTGCAAAAAAATCTCATCCTGCTTTGTTTTAATTACAAATGTATCTTTCACTGTGGATTTTTGCCGTGCAACATGTGAAAAAAGGCTGTTTCTTTCCAGTTTGTTTGACACTGACCCAGTGGCAGCAATTACAGGAATTTACAATAGTCAGTCTTATTCCTGATGGTCTGCATTGCTTTTGTAAACCATAAAGATTCATCAACATTAATTTATCTTTCATAACCAAATTAACCTTCTTCACAGACGCTTTAAACTTGTTATTAAGAGTTGTGGTCAAGATCTTACATTTAGCGGGAGACACTTGACAGTTGGAAGCTGTTTTGTTCTCTGGTGGAAAGAAAATGTAATGTCCAGAAAGTAAAAACTGAATAATATCTCAGACATACTTTTTCTATTTTTAAGATGTATTATTACTTACCATTGGCACACACACATAAACGGTTAGATCTTGTTAAAAGCAAATAAAGGCCTAAAGTCTCCATGTGATTATATTTTGTTCTCTTTCCTGGTAAAATGTAAATGTACAGCTAACATGAGCACTGACTGGGTTGTTTGTGATCAGTCTGCAGAACAGTCTGTATTGCCTAATGAAGCTGAAAGAAACACCAGCCACCTCAAAGAGTTTGTCCTTGCTTCCCTTCGTAACATGTTGTTACTTTTTCTCCCTAAGGAGGCGGTCGGGAGAGTTTGTCTGAAGGAAAGAGGAAGAGACGTGTTGGTGTTGCGGAGAGTGACATCATCAGTGACGTCACCATCGGACCGGCCTTCGCCCACATCGTTGGGGGGCGGGTCCAGAGAGGAGGATTGTGACAAGAGGTCAGTCCATCCTAACCTTCTTTATAATAAGAGACCTCAAACCAGAAGAGGTAACAAAAACATAATCATACTCCTCCCTCTTGTTTTCAGTTTGAGTGTACTTTAGGAGCTTAGGTTGCGACCACACACTCCTGCATGAACATGCAAAATGTACAAGTGTGCGTGTGTGTGTGCGTGCATGTGTGCGTGTGTGTGTAAGATAATGAATGCTTTAGCTTCTGGCACAGAGAGGAAAGAAGAGAAAGGCTTTTTTGTTTTCAGCTAAAAGGGAAACAAAGATGACACCAAGGCTGTTTTACTTCCTTCTACATATCAGTGTAATGGTTGTGTATAGCATGGATGTGTGTGTGTGTGTGTGTGTGTGTGTGTATAAGCATGGATGTGGGACTGTGTGTGTTTGTGTGAAATTGCTTTCCTCAAAGTCCTTTTCTTTGTGCAGTGTCTGTGTTTGCTTGCATTTAAGCCAGTTTGTGCCAAGACCTAAGGCACAATGCAGGGAGTGTCAGTGACAGGCAGGTTAAGTGTGTGTGTGTGTGTGTGTGTGTGTGTGTTTGTGTATTTGTATATACAGTGTCAGAATCTTCACGAGCAATCAGTTCACTCTGAGTTCTACTGAGGCAGCTGTCAGACGGAGGGTATTTTTTGGAGTTTCGAACCGACTGGGCCAGTCTGCTCGGCAGTTTACCCATCAGGAGAGCACCCTCCTTGGGTCTGCAAAGCTTAGATGAGTGCCCATTCCTTGGAAATTTTTCGATATGAGAATGAACAACGAGCTAGCTATGCTCGCAGAGGCAGAGGAGGACATAGATGATGAGGATGACGAAGAAGATGAGGATAGTAATGATGATGAAGACGATAGTAGCATCTGTACTTTTGATGTTCCCCACTTCCGCTACATCGATGATGATGATGTGGAGGAGAATGAGGAGGAAAGAGGGAGGATTGGAAATGGTCATTCTTGGTTCTCACGCCCTAGTCAGGAAGATTGTCATGACTCCTCATCTTTCAGGTATGTGGTGGTGTCGGGGACGCCACTGAAGATCCTGGAGCACCTGCTGAGTGACCTGCGGTTGGACGACCATAGAGGGGGGCCAGAGAGCAGGGAGAGCGGTAAGTTTGTTGACACAAAGACTTACAGAAGCACGTGGCAAATAGGTTTCGTAAACATTATGCACATGTGTGAGACAACATCCATCCACACCATTCATTGTTTTTAAAGGACGTTCATTGTCCTCTGATGTCACTCTCAGGTCGGGAAACTCGAACGCTGTTCAAATGTTGTACTGCCATTGATATTTCATAAGTTCATCATCTTTACTGACAGACTCAGGAGTCCATTAATAAACAGATAAGAAACAAAATCAAGATAAGAAACAGGAAACAAAGACCTCCAATGTCATAAAAGATATTATAAAAGATAGCTTATTTGTAAAAACCTCTTACATTTGACAAATCGCTTTCTAACATGGCATCCCAGTTGATAAGCAGCTGAATAGAAAAAGATAGTTAATTCCAAAAGGACATTGTACCACATTTCAAGATTACATAACATTTTTTGCTTACTAATTTGCTCCTGTTAGATGACAACTCATTGTAACATTGAGTTGTCAAGACAGACAGTGTCTAGACAGCAGATATTAAGACCAAAGCTAACTGTATTGTTAGCTGCCTAGGGGAATTTTTAGTGAGCTAATGGAGATTTTAGGGTAAGGGTCTGTTCTGAATTTGCTGGATGCTAACATTAATGCTAATCTTGAACCTTGGTAGGTTGAATTACAATGAATTGAGAAGAGGTGAAATGCAAGGATCAATCTGAAATACAGACGGTACTGCATTGGCAAAGGAATTGAGCTTCCCCCTCTGAGCAAAATGGTAGTTAAAAATTGTCACTGTGTGGATATAATTCATTTTTATGTATCTCTATATAAAGATAGCAACATAGATGTTAGCTATAAGAGTCAAAGAAAGTCAGTGGAATCAGCATGTTGTATAATTAAACGGATGAGACGTCTCAGTTATTGTACCCAAGCATTTTTAAAACTAAGCAACTCTTCACCCTCTCATTCCAAGAGCTACTTTTTCAGCACACAGCAAGTTACAGCACATCCCAACCTGGACCTCTCTCTGTCTCGCTCATTCTCTCTAAAATGGGCTTAGACTCAGGGGGTATGCTATTCACCTCAGCTATGCCGTTATACTATGAGTCAGTCAGCCCTCCCACCACAGCCAGGTGCAAGTGTGCAGTCACTCAGCCATGTCATCGCCTGTAAATATGAGGAACATTCAAGAGGTTAAACGCTTTGATGAGTTTGTCAAACGATTCCCTCGGGCTGCTGCAGGCTTTTTTTTGTTGCAAACTATTTCAATGGGCTGTTAACCATCATGTCTCATTTCTTACAAGTCCACCCCTTAGCTACTGGGTTCTTTGACAGTGCAGCAGTTTGACATCGTATATACTGTTTTTTTCTGTATTTGCTTATAATATATCAACCATGTATTTAAGTAAAACCTTAAATTGCTTGTGGATGTTAATTGACTTTGAGGACACAATGTCAAATACAGTTTGCGCTCTTAATCTCTTGTGAGTACACTTATTTCTGGTTATACTGAAGAAAATAATTCATATTTTATTTTTTGTTACTTTGAAGCTCAAGTAAAAAAAAAAAAAATCATCCAGGGACATCTGGGTCCCAACTTATGTAAAAAAATAAAAATAAATAAAAACTCCACCAGCTTGTTTGCGCCGCTTTTAAGACAGGGCATCTTTATTTATCGACTCCTCAGCACCACCAGTTCCCAGCAGTCCACAGGGAGCCGTCTCACTGAATTGCATGAAGCAAATGAAGAAACAGAGGAGAGAGAGAGAGAGCGAGAGGAAGGGAGGACTGAGGTGGTCTTTGTGGAAGAAGGCCGCCTGATTTTTATTCACTTAAAGGAAAAGACACTTTTTTTCTGAAGGAGAGGTAGAAGCAGGGGTGATGATCAAGAGTGTGCAATGTTAGCCTGTCTTTGTCTCTGTATCAGTGCGCATGCATCCTTTGGTCTATGTGCTTTGAATAAGCATGAGGACGGGTGTGTGCGCGTGTGTGTTTGTGCATGCGCGTGTGTCTGTGTGTGTTAAAAGGCCCTCTGGGATGTTGCTGTGCCGTTTGAGCGGGCTTAGCCGTGCAGCATGTTGAACAGGCATGAACACGCTTCCATAAAGAGAGAGAGAGAGATTACCCCAACCACTGCTCCTCATGTACACATAGAATCACACAAACACACACACACACACACACTTACACACAACAACAAAAACAAAAACACAGAGGCATATTACCACGATTAGTTCCGCACACACACACATTCCTTCTCTCCCTTTCTCTCCCATGAGAGATAAAGTCCCCAAGGTCAGAAGTGAATGAGTTATTCATCAGAGTGCCGTATGTGTGAGTTTGTGTGTGTGTGTTTGACTTTCTGCGTGCCAGCCGGCCATCGCAGAGGGCATATGTTGAAGATGAACATTGATATTTATCATCACAGAGAGCTGAGTGTAGGAGGAGAAGAGGAGCAGCAGGAAAAGTGGCCGGCAAGAAGGAGAAAATTAAGCACTGGGTTGCAGGAAGAGAAAGAGAGAGAGCGTGAGGGTAACGGGAGAGAAAAGACTGACGGCTGGTCAAGTAGCCTTTCATCCGTAGATTGAAGGGAAAAGGCCTCACACAAGGAGAAATGACAGTTAGTCAGCAGGGTTTTTAAAAAAGTCATGAGCTCAGTCAGACCTGCCTTCAAATATTTCTTTGGAAAAGTAGTGTTTTTATTTCCAAAGAGAAAACCGTCGATCAAATATTAATGCCGCGGCCTCTGCTCAGTCTTCTATAATTGATTTTTTTGCTCTCTGCCTGACAGAGCCATATTTGGGTCACACTTTTTCCCAGGGAAAGAGTTTGACACCACACACACACACACACACACACAGACACACACAGACACACACAGACACACACAGACACAGACAGACTACTACTCCCTCACACCACCAACAGTGGCTCATTACCCATCTGCAATGAGGGCTGTTTATATTCGGATTCTTGGCCATTGAACACCTGCTGAGTCTCACACACACACTGGCAGTTTTTACTCTGATGAATTTCTTCCACCGTGTGTGTTGTTTTCTGTGTTTCAGAATATGAGCAAAGAGGAAGAGAAGCTTGTATCTTTTGTAGTGGTGTAAACATTTGCTTACCTGTTTCTCTAAGCTACAGGAAACATAGTTTCACGTCTCACTATTATATAAAATACAGTAGACACAATAAACAGCACTAAAAGCTAATATTTGCAAAGTATCATTGGTCATAATTTATTAAAACGTAAACACTAAAAACAGTAAATAATGTAAAAAGATGATCTGCATTATCAGGCTGTGGTTGTTTTTGGAAAGATTTTGATTGATAGTTTTGAGCAACATGAGCATGCAAACTTAAACCTCTTTGGCCTAAAGAATCAAACTTAACATAACTTTATCTGACCTTTAGAAGAAAGTCTGTAGCCATACAAACAACATGTTGTCACTTTTTAATGTGATAAGAGTTGCATTCAAAATGATCCAAATGACACAGAGCAGTATTAACCATTCTTCTAGAGTTATGTTTCTGGCTCACTGATGACTGTTAGTCCAATATTCACTCTCACTTTGGTCTCAATCCAACTCCTGAGGGAAATATCTGGCTCTTTAGCAGCTGAGTGCTCCACAGTGTTCACCAGCTTGTTACTAACTTTGTCTGTCTGCTTGCGACTCTGAGCAGGCAGTGGACAGAGAGTTTAAACGGAAAACACTTGTTGGACACACAAATGATGCCATGTGAGTGAACTAATACAGTAAAGTTGTGCACTGGAAAACTAAAAATGAGCTAAAAGAAGAGAAATTGAAAGGATCATTCTTGGTGAATGGGTTCAAGTCCATCTATGATGTTTTTTGATGTGGCTCTAACACAGAGGAAATCGTTTACGGCTTCATTATTTATCCGTCTCTTTAGGACAGTGGTTCCCAAAACACTTTCTTCCAGGCCCCCCTTTGGCAGATCAGAATATTTTCAAGCCCCACCCTCCACCCACCAGCACATATCGACATACACATAACACACTCTCAGTCCTGCTCTTTGCTAACAAATTCCTATATTTATTTTAAATTTATCTCAAACATTGGCTTCAAAAGGAACAGAATAGCAACCTTAACCTGAAAAACCAACGAGCCACTTTTTAAAGAGGAAGGAACTGAAAGTGATACTGTTACATGAAACTTCCAAGTTTGTCTGCTGAAGATTCATTTTCAGTCTAAGCAGCATAAAACTCCTAAATATGGTTACTGTTATTCTCTGAACATTTTGAGAACATCAAAATCCACATGCGCAGTGCCAAGTATGTTATTCATTCAATTTTTACACATTTTATCTTAACATGAACAATGAGTGGAAGTGATACCAAGAGACAAACAATTTGATCAGCAAGTTAATGTTTAATGGGTTACACAAAATGAGCCTCGAAACATTGCTGCTTGCTGTTCACCTTTTTAAAGCTTCCATTAAATCAGATATTTTAGACCTCATCAATCACAGAAAAAAGTCCTCAACTGCATAGTGCAGACTGAACATGGAAACAAAGAGGAAAACGGAAAATTCATTTCACATTACTCTCGGTGTCTTAGTTCCAAGAATTGGTTAAAATCTTAGTTGTGTCTAATGATGCGTTTCTTTGTTTCAGAAATGCTGCTGGATGACTTCCTGTTGACCTACCTGGTGTTCATGTCCACCAATGACCTCTGTCAGGCTCTACTAGGACAATATCCTTTCTGGAATCACTAATTCACACATAGACACAAACATTTAACTTACACACTGCCTGTCTTTGTCTCCTTGACTGCTCTCACTTATAGCAGTGCTCGCTGCAGGGGCCAGGAGGAGGGCAAAGACGCCCTCTTCAGAAAGCGTAAAGTACTGCAGCTAGTCTCCCACTGGAGCAGACTCTACAAGGATTTCCTCAAGGATGAGGAGCACGTCAGGAGCTTCATGAAGGTACTCCACTCTTCTTCTTCATCATTATATAGTTCTATTATCTCTCTTCTGACTCTATCTCTCTCTGTCTCTCTGTCTCCCTCTCTTGAATGATTTAACAACTTAGATCCTCTGGTGTCCCTTCACCCGTGTGTCATTCATCTTCATTTGTCTCTGTCTTGTTCTAAAACTGGGCTCTCCTGCCTCAGTTCTGCACAGACAGAACATCAAGCATATTGTGAAGAAAGAGAGAACAGAGCCGTGTGTGGATGTTGGTGTGTGTATTCTCCCTGATCTTTTTGTTTGCTGCCTTTCCTGTGATCTGAGTTTGAGCGATCTCCCATAGGAGAACCTTTGTTGATGTTTTTATCTCATCTTTCTGAAAAAGCAAACAGGAAAAAAAAAAGGTTTCATAAGGAATGAATGCTTAAATCAAGATATAAGGCTGTATTTTCTTCTTTTTAGAATCTAAAACATGATAACCAGCAGAATCATTCACATTAAATGAATGCTGACGATTCGGTTATATAAACTTTTTCGACCTCCTTACTGAGTGTAAATAATGACCTACTACCTGCTTTTAATGTTAAAAGGATATCTATACATTAAGACTTGAACTCTTTGCTAACAAGACCTAAATTATGTTTCTTGAGGTCAATAAGAACAGCTCAAACTGGTGATCAGATTCTTACTTTGAACAAGGTGATTGAATTCCTGGGTTTTTTCCTAAAAAGAAATCTGTCTTTAAATCGTCATAACATAACAAGTGTGAAACTGGGGTTCTTCTAAAAAAAAAAAAAAACCTGTTTTTTTCATTTTTTTATTTTTTAGTAATTGGCCACTGTGATATTCTTTATATGCATGCTACCTTGGTAATTTTCCTTTTAAGGATGTTATTTAAAAGTATATCGATTGTAAAACGTAATGTGTTGTACCGCTGTGTTCATACAGTATAGGTGAAGATTTTAAAGTAAAGTGCATGGAGACATGACCATATATGGAGACTACCCAGCAGGCTATCCACCCTGCTGCAGTTTACTTAATAGTAAACCTGATGAAGCCACGGGCGAATCGGTTGTTTGTTTGAAAATGAAGATTAAGAAAAGGGAGAAGAAGCAATTCAGCTTTCTTGTGAGCGGTGAATCCACAAATATTTTATCTTCAGCCTGGATTTAAGGAAATTATGTTCCTTTGAATTCTAATATGGACAAAATAAATAATCTACACAGGACATCATAGCTCCATAAAATAAAAACACAGACATTTTCAGTGTCACAGTAAAACAAAAAGTCACGTTAAAATGCTTCTTAATCTGCTCCACATTAAAAACAGCGGATGTGAATCTGAATCAATGCGACGTCTCTGTGAAACAAGAAGAAGAAAAACACAGGAACACGTGAAGTCATCCCCACACGCACGATCACTTGTCCCTCTGTAACCTAACGGCTGCATTGCACCGTGCCGTGTTGCCACGGAAACCAAAGTGCGAGGGTTGGCCTGGGTATAATCTCATGAGGAGTGCGTAACCCAGGTGATGGTTGCCTAGTAACAGAGGAATGAGTGAGGAGAATTGGGATGGGTGGCGATGGTGGGTCAATGTCAGCAGGTGTTTGAAAATGTGTGTGTGTGTGTGTGTGTGTGTGTGTGTGTGTGTGTGCAAGTTATTACTGTGTCTGCTTTCATACTTCTTGGTCATTTTACCTAGCAGACAAACACACAGACAAACACACACACATGTTAGTGTGTCACCTAATCCCCCATTTCAGTACAAGATACAGAAAACATATGGACTTAGATGGAAGGATTAAAATAACAAAAGTCTTTCTTTTGTTATATATTTAAAATCATTAGCCTACTAAACCTGCATTGATGTGATTCGAGCACTAACGTTGTTATATGGTCTGGCTCAGTACACTGAAGGACTCCAAACCTAAAACAGACAAACACTGATTTAAATAAAGCTGCTTTATTGTGTGTTTTTTCATGAAATAAGTATCTGAACTTTAAATACAAAATACAGTCTTGGCATGTTTGAGAACACACTGGATGCTGAAGCTTTGTTTGCACCTCACATGATAGTTTACCTGAAAGCTAGGGCCTGACCCGTATGAGAGTTTTGGGGCTGATACCGATAACGACGTTAGGAAGAGAAAAATTCCCATACAAATATATGTGCCAATATCGTTCTTAGATCTTTGTTCGATCAATAGAGATACATTTAGATTAAAGTGTATATTGCGTTGATCTCTATGCAGTTGTCAAATAGTTTTATAATGAAGACAAGATGGTCACTCAACTGGAAAGTAACTGCTAGTGTAAAACAACAATACTGAACAAGAAGAAACATCAAGAATTTTGATGAGGCCAATAATTGATGGTTTACACTTGGTTTATTGACTGGCATACATTCATCCATTCACAGAAACCCCATTTTTAAGCAAAATCAAAGTCAGTGATGCTCCAGGTATCAGTAGTAGAACAAATACGTTTTACAGTATAAGTGTGTAGTATCAGTGCACACAGACAACTTCAGCAGCTCGATAAACAACCATCACAGAGTCAGTTTAGAGAGAAGGTTGGAGAGAGTTTCTATGATATGTTGGTAAGTTTTAATGAACACATTTTTCCCATGTTTGTTTTTGTTGCAGACACTGTACAGGTATGTTTTAGAAGACTTGTACGAGTTCCCCACCCTCGAGAAAGACCTGAAGGAGTTCCAGAAACTTCTGCGCCGCAGACAGTGAGTGTTTTTGTCACTGCACAGGACTTCTTCTTCTGGATCAGATATGATAGCTTGTGTTTATGTGAATTGGGGTTTGACTGTCATGCTTGTTTCTTCTCATAGCACTGTGGATGACTGCCCTCCTAACCAAAAGGTAGGTCGGAGTGAATATTACTACATTCATGCTGCTTGACACTATCACTTACAAATATGTCAAATGGTTTATTTCAATAAAGAAAATTAAGGGAAATAAGCAAAACAAATGTCTAAACTGTGCTTAATATTATAATACATGATAAGTTCATCTCAACACTCATCTTCATGTCACTCCTGCTTTCTTTCTCTCAGAGTAAACAAACGTATCAGCAGTTGAGTTTGAAGGAAAACTGTTTACAGCTTCGTAGCCCACCAACAGAGACAAGAGAGGGTATGTAACAAAGATAAAGATATAAACAACACCAAGCACAACACACTGCCCAGGACTGAACGCAATCATACATAATGACAGTCTGCAAGTTCTATGTTCATGCATAATGTGCACATTGAATAAAGAGCTTCATTTTGTCTTTTTGAGCACTCAAAAATAAACTCAAGTCTCCCTCTTGAGTTTATTTTGCCTCTGTTTCACTATGACTTCAAAGAAGTTCCTTCTTTTTGTTTTTGTGTAACTAACACATTTTGAGTAAATGTATGTTTTCTGCTCTAAACATTTTCTATGTTTGTTGTAGTTATTTGCTGCGTGTATGTGAGCGCTGACTCTTACCTGAGCGTTCAAACACACCACTCGCTGGAGGCCCACGAGCTGCTACGGATCGTAGGTCTGAAGATGGACAGAGCAGAAGAAGACATGGTTCTTGCTGTTGTGTCGCAGTCTGGAGGTATACTCACAAACACACAAAGAAATGCATAAACCATTTATAATAGTAAAATTGACAGAGCATTATTTACCCTCTTGAAAAAGCTCATTTTTCAGCCCAGTGGTTCCAACTTTAATTACATAAAAGTCAATAATGTTACACTACGTTGTCAGACAATGGGAAGTTAAGGGTGGTAGTAGTACACATGTTTTTTTTTATGTTAGAAATGCATACCTTTAATATTTTGATAAATATTCATATCTATGACTTATAAACATTTCTTACCGTTATTTCAACGATTGCAATTTTCTTTCAACATTAAACATTTCTTAGTACTTTTTGATCATATTTTAAACTCTTCATTAAACTTTGGGCTTGCTAAGGTTATCAAATTCATCTTTTTAAACACTCAAAGCTTGTTCACTAAATGTGTTTAGTCATAACTTTTAAGCTATTTCTTTTACTAAGCTGTCCCTTTTTACCATTATTAGATCATTAATTAGACTTCTCTGCTTTCCTGGCTACCTTGCCAAACACAAAGGTGTTCAGGTATTACAACAAAATGTTTTCAAAATCATTATTTAAGGGTTATTAAATCTTTGAGCTTCTAAGATAATCCCTTGACCTTGAGAACAGCAAAAGTACAGCAAAGTACCCCTGTTTGGGAATCAATACTTCTACTCCCTTGGCTTTAAATTATCATCATCGTCATCCTTCTGTTGTTCTCTCTTCATCTGTTTACCTGCAGAGCGGAGGGTGTTACAGCCCAGTGACTGCGTGTATTCAGAGTCTCTGACCCCACAGGGGAAGCTCATGGCCTGTCGCAGGGACCTCACCGAGATCTTGGTATGTAAATGTGCTGTTCTGTTTTCTTCTTCTCTCCTACTGTGATATGACATCTTTCCAATTTCCATCTTTTGAAAGCATTCATAGATGCTAAAGAAGCAGCCTCTCAGAGATATTATCATGTGGGCATATTCTCACTTCTATACAGTAGATGGTTTTATCAACTTTAGTCTTCCGGGTGAATCAGGCATGAAAAATAAAATCCCTTTTCCCCATATGACAATTCTTTCCACAGCATTTTGGAGAGTCATGCTTTATAAGCAAGCCAGAAAGACTTAGGCCAGGCTGTTGCTAATAACTCTGACTCAATGGAGAAGAAACTGATGTGAGCCGCAACCATTTTGTTGTCGCCCAACCATGACAGTGGGATGGAAAAGTGCTGTATCAGTGTGAAGTGTTGTTCTGTAATGGCATGTTTTTCCTCACAGTGGAACCTAAAGTCTTATTCAATCTACATTTTAAGGACATGTAAAAGTTTACAGGATATTGAAAGGCCTTCTATTGACTAAAAAGTAGATCCTCTACACATTTTACTGAATGTACTGTATGAATGGGATGCTGACAGACATGTGGTGTTTAGTTTTAAAAAGTAAACACTGACGTCAGTTGTCAGGCACACAAAAGCAGAATTTCATTTCATGTAAATAGAGCAGGACAGAACAACCGTGTTGTAGGAATCACCGCTCTGGTTTCAGCTTTCAAATCTGCTTGTATAAAAGCTGAAGGCTCTCTCTCTCTCTAATCTTTCTTTAAAGCTGTTTTGTTTTTATCCACTCACAGTCTCTTTGTTATGTAATGTATGATGATCACGGGACTGTTTATTTTATTTAGAGGTGTTGTTCTTGTAAATATAAAACACCTGTGTGTATGACAGTAAGCAGTGTTCTCTATTTATTTTTGCGTTGACGTTGTATTTCTGTGTTTCTTTCTTTTCTGTGTGTGTGCACAGCCTCCTCTAACAGACAGTGCTGAGCTAAGCAGGAGAACGGTGCGACTCTTGGGTATTAACACCTGGGATGTGGCTGCTGCTCTCACACACCTGGACTGGAGCCTCTTCAAATCCATCCATGAGGTTTGTACCCGCCTGCACATAAAAATATATATATACATGTGTTGTGTGGGTATAGTGTGTAATGAATTCATATTCATTTCAGAGATTGCTTAAACATGAGTGCCAAATATGCAAATGCTCCATAAGATTTTCCGGATCATTAGTACAGAAAGTCTTCTTGCAGCTTCAGAAGAGCTGAATATTTGTGAAAAAGTTGAAGCATAGGATAAAGGGAGAAGCAATGGCTACATTTTAACGCTGACATGTGGAGGTTATCCTGTCTTTGTTAATTCTAGGCAAAGTTGCTTCATCATTCTTTAAATGTTGATTTTTTTTTTTACTTCTTTGTATGAACATGTTAATTTTTTCCTGGTTTTGGATTATTTGTTGTACAAAAAGAGCAACAGAAATGTCACTTCTAACATGTCTTTACTTAAATTCTGGGTGAGTTTATCTTTCAATCATGTTCTTCCCTCCTTCCACATGCAGCAGGAGCTGGTGTACTACACCCTCAGCCGTTCTCCTGGAGGTGGCCACACGGCGGCGCTCACAGTCCTGCTGCAGCGCTGCAACGAGGTACAGCAGTGGGTCATGTCCGAGGTGCTCATGTGTGTGTCACTCAACAAGAGAGTACAGCTGCTCAAGAAGTTCATCAAGATCGCGGCGCAGTAAGAACACACTCTCTCAGAAATAAATACACAAAAGAGTACATGTGTGATATGTGCATGTGTGTTTTTGTGCAGAATGCTAACATCTCTTGACCTTTTTGTTTTTTTGTAGCTGTAAAGCCCAAAGAAATTTGAACTCTGCGTTTGCCATCATCATGGGTCTTAACACAGCAGCTGTCAGCCGACTGAACCAAACCTGGGAGGTAAACATGTGCATTGTTGTACTTAGTGTTTTTCTGCTCATGGATTTGTATTATAAATACCATCTGACCAAACACTTTCTTTTGTAGAAATGTCCAGGGAAGTTCAAGAAGCTTTTCTCTGAGCTCGAGCTCATCACGGTGAGATTTCATAAACAGATACAAGAGATTCATTTTTATTCTTTGATTATCAAATGTTATGAATAAATCTAAAGCATTCCTTTTTACAATCTATTCTTTTCAACCTCTCTGTTCTTTCTTTCTCTGTTTTTATTCAGGATCCTTCTCTGAACCACAAAGCCTACAGAGAAGCATTCAAGAGGATGAAACCTCCCAAGATCCCTTTCATGCCGCTTCTTTTGAAAGGTACCATCTCTAACCCTTTTCAAACTAACACACAGCTGGTTGTTTTTATTGAAAAAACTCATTCAACATTTGTTCCTGTTCTAAGATATCACCTTTATCCATGAGGGAAATAAGACCTTCCATGACAACCTGGTCAACTTTGAGAAACTGGTGAGTTAAGTCAGTTATTTCATTGTTTTTTTAATGTCACTCAGCAAAGGCCACATATAAAGAGCAATTATTATTTTAACCATAATGAAGTAAATACATTCACATCAAGACGGGATGCAGGTGAGCGCTGATGGGATCCAGGATTTCATCATGGCTGATGGGTCCGCTTCATTTGGCCTCCACACAGATGATTTTTCCTGCACACAGACAAAGCCTGATGAAATGCCAGTGGATGACACTGCTCTGACTACAAAACCAAAGTTTTCCTGACACCAAAAATCATGTCACCTGCCCGCAGATTCTGTGTTCATATACAGAATCTGTTTTCAGAGATTTGTCATTGTTGTGCCAGATTCAAGAGTGATTTGGATTAGATCTGCAAAAATCTAATTCATGTTGATTTTCCTGTTCAGAATCACCACAATCAATCTGGATACAGTCTGTTATGCCAAACACACACACACACACACCTATATATATATATATATATATATATATATATATGTATATGTATATATATGTATATGTATATGTATATATATATATGTATGTGTGTATATATATATATATATATATGTATATATATATATATATATATATATATATATATATATATATATATATATATATATATATATATATATATATATTTATGTATATATATGTGTGGGCTAGAAGACTGATGAAGGCCCCAGAGTGTTGTTCGTAACAGATCAAGAGAATGACTGACACTGTGTGGAATTTCACCTGGAACAAGCTTTGTTTTGATGATTTATGTTTTTCCTGAGTGCTATAAAGCAGCACAATAATACTCCTGTTTCCTATTGCACTGATGCAACATGTCTTCTATTGAACCTTTACAGCATATGATCGCAGACACAGTGAGAATGATTCGCCACTGCCAGAGCGACCAGCCGGGTGAGTTTTCTTCTTTTTTTTTTAAACCTCTGACTTAATGCCCGAGTTACAACGATCCCAAACAAAACAAAATGGAATGTCTGCTCAGCTTCATGGGCTCTTGTCGTGTGACAGTGTGTTGGATTATAGTGTTGCTGTTTAGATCAATTCATTGTAAAGACTCTACCGCCATCTGCTGCTGAGTTGGTATACTGCAGCTGTATAAAGCAGTTACCAAGCAACCATTTCCAGACAAACCTTTACACTCTTTGTATGAGTCTATGTTTGTGTGTGACTGTTCTTGGAAACTCTTCTGTGTGACTGATGTGCACTTTTTGTTTGTGTGTGTCCTTCTCTTAGGTAACGAGGTTATTGGGAACGACAGTGTAGAGGTGAGGGCGAGCGTTCACTACCTGCACATCATCGACAATCAGCAGACGCTTTTCGAGCTGTCACACAAACTGGAGCCACGCGCTTAAGGGCACATGCACACACACATACACTTACGTGCACAAAGACACTAGACAAATGCTAGCACCTTGTACGTGTGACGTGGGGGACGCTTTGTGAAGCAAAATGTGACACACTCAAGTGTACAAAGCAACAAAATATCACTACCAGCAGTGGTGCCACAATAAGAAGGTGACATTTATTGTGACAAAAACCCATGGAGACACAGAGCTGCCTATTTGCTGATGTCGTGTGGACACCAAACATGGACAAAAAGTATTTGTAAAGGCCTTCGAAACCCAAGAAGAGATTCTGTGCAGCAAGATGGAGGTCTGCCAAACTGAGACAGAGGAAGTTGTAACTAGTTTGTACAGTATCTATTGGGCTGAATATTCCCTTGTTTATGTTCCTGTGATGAGCTTTTTGTTATTTATGAGCCGTTAAAGCAGGTGTAATGTTTCTTTATTTCTGTCAAAGTCTCCTGACAAGAGTTTAACAGCATCTTCATCACTTCAGCTACAAACAGAGGGTGACCTTGTAACCAGGGCCCATTTGTTGAAAATCTTTATCCTGGCTAAGAATTCTCCTGATTCGGAGGATCTGCTTTTTTGATATCCAGGATCAGGTAATCCAGCTCATTTTGGCCACTTTCTTTAAAAGGACAAAACATTTAGTATTATACTAATCCAGATACAGACTTTAAAGGAATACAAAATCTGGATTACCAGTGATCTAAACATCCTGAAAGATCCTGACTGTTGCTTTCAATTAAACATTTCATGTTCGATATCAACAGCTGTTTGGTGAAATGTTTATGGGGCGAAAATCCTTTATTTTGTCACAACCCTAATGTCTAATAGTTTTACTATGTCACATTTGACATTTTGCTAATCAATTCCAAAATGATTTTAAAAGTTAATTAAAAATGTTTTTCCTCTAATTCCATGTCAGTGTAATTCAGCCTGAATCCACTCCTCTTGGATCAGGACAATCCACATTTTGAGGTCAGAGTTTTTCCAATCCTGCACTGCAAAGTCTTTAACAACACCTACATGAGGTTTTTATCCAGATATAAATCAAGATTGGATTAACTGATCATATTCATTTTCAGAATTGTTTTTTCTTTCAGCAACCCCTCGTCAATGTTTAATATAATGTGGTAGCTTTAATCTAATCAGATGACTTTTGAACAACTGGGCCCTGATATCCAAATCCTGCCCCACACATGGTCTTGTATGATTCTATCAGCATATCATAAATCGGCCTTTTAGTGCATGTATATGTGTACATGCTTACAGTTTGTTGGTGTTTGCTGTGAAGTTTCTGCTGTGGGTTCTTGTGTAGTACTGTATTATGTAACACAAGCAGCAGCCTGTTCTGAAGCAGTACAACACTTTAACATACCTACACTTTTTTTATTTTGACCTTTTTTTTTTCTCACTGAGGCTCCGTCTTAAAAGTGCAGCTCTACAGTGTATTGTATCTTTCGAATTCAGGAATTATATTGCCAGTATAGTTCTCTTGAGTGTGCAAAAGTTCAAACACTGTTGGTAAATAGTGAACAGCACTTGGTTCTTTGTATTTTAAAGTCCTGGTTGACTTTTATTTAAACTCTCCTCGTGCGCTCCTCTCTCCGAGGTTTTTGTGGGAATAGATAATCATTATTCAACATTGTATATAATATGGACCTATACATTTTTTCAGTGCCAAATGTCACATTGAGTCCTGGCTCTTTGTTTAAAGATTAGTGTCTTTTTTTAAAATATCAGACACTGATTTCCTTGAACAGGAGAAGATTCAGATCTGCCTCCTCTCAGAGAAGCTTTCTGACATTATGATGACTGATTGCAGGATGTGTGATTGTATTTTGGTTGATATGAAAACACATCCTCATCATAGAGCTCTTTTTTCTTTTCCTATATGAATCCTTACATTTTATTACATGAAGAGATTAGTCAAAGCAACACATCTGAAACTTTGTTTAGACATACTGTAGCTTTATTGGACACAATGAACACACACACTATGGAAGCACAAGGACAAATACTTTCTTTGTAGGACTCTGGGAGGATTTTCACAGCTTTGCTATTACCCATTATTAATCCTTCTCACTCATAACAATGATTCCCAATATTCTTGCCCTCTAACTACATATTGACTGGAAAATGTATCTGTTTCTGAACAAAATAGGTCAACAAATTCTGACGACAATTCTTTCATAGCCATGGCTGTGAAATGTAAAAAACACCTGTTTGTTATTCAAATCACTGAGACCAACCTGCTTTGTTATGAGTCTGTCAGTATGGAGTCACATGAAAGTGTTGAGTAGAATCATATTCAGTAGTAGTGATGAAGATTATTACAAATTAAGATATGAAACCCTCCCTTTAGAACCATGAGCAGTCTTCAAATCGTGTTAGTTTGTCGTCTCCTTGTATCAGCAGTACATTTGCTGGGTAAACTCCAGTGAGATTCTTATGTGTTAAGTTGTGATGCAAGCCTTGCATTGTGTTTGCAGTTATAAAACATGAAGGGTTAAGTGCAATATTGAAGAAATGTTGTTGCCACGTTAGTTTATCCTCATTTCAACTCTTAAGCCAATCAGAGCACCGAGCTGCTCTCTCCTGCAGATCAGTACGAATCAAATGGAGGACTGAAATGTCCAATACATTTCAGAGACACATTGTTTTTAGTTATTTTCAGAAAAAGAAAAAAAATCAATTACCCCGATGTGACTGACTGATTTGTTAAATTTTTGAATCACTAACTTGAATAACTCTTTCAAGACCGATGAGGTCCTGTTGTTTTCACAAACCCTTCCTGTAGATTCTCTGACACTGAATATGGAGCCAGATTTGAGGTCACAGTCATCCACATCGATAAGCTGAAGCTGAAATGCTATTTGAGCAAGTTGAATATTCAACTTTATTTTGGATGTGAAATATTTTTATTGCCCTGGATTTAAGACTACAAACTATTCTTGAGATTGTTTCCTACCATGAGTTATTTAAATCCAAATATATCACATGAACCCTTTATAATAGGAAAGATATCATTGATTAAGAACCCTCGTCAGTCATTCTTTGACTGCTGGAGCGGTAAAATCAGGGCTATGGGTTTTTTTTTTTCAAAGTCAACGATAAAGAAAAAGGCCTTTGGTAGTCTTTTTTTTTTAACTATCCTGTACATGATAAACACACGTTCAAATCAGATTAACTGTGCTATTCTCATAATTTATTGTAGTATATTGTTTATTTATGTATTTTTGAGGTGACAAAACTACATGTGCCATGTTCAGAGGTTCAACAATGTCAAAGAGCTTTCTTTAGCAGAAAAGATGAATGGGTTTAAAAGCTTCGAAACTGGAATGTAGAACTGCTTGTTCTGTTTTGTGGCCGGTAGAGGGCAGCAGAAGAGCAGGTCAGTGTGATGATGCTCACGTTTGTTCCTCTGATGCTGACTTCTGTGATGGACAGGAACTGACAGGGAGATGTGTTCGAAGTTTTATCTGCTGTTGTCATGACTGTAAAATTAGGTTGTTGTTTTTTTTTTAAATTAAAATAATGTTGTTTAAAACCTTTTTGCATGTTAAAAACAAAACAAAAAAACTAACAAAGTTCACAATGCAAGAGAGGACACATTGAAGGCTTTGTACTATTGTAATATTGTTGATGTGTAAATATATGCCCACGTTTGGTATGTTGTTATAATTTATGGGTTGTAAATGAAGAAAATAGTCAACCACAAAGCAATACGTGTCCCCTCGTGTCCCCTCGACCCTCAGACAGCTGAAGCCACATGTCTTTTCTAAAGCTGTGTTTTACTATGTCGAATTTGACTGAAACAAATAAATTATAGGTTTTATGTGACATCTGTGTCGGCTTGTGTTTTTTGTCTTGTGCTCTGTCACTGTTATTGTAAACAAGTGCATGAGTATGTCAAGTCCATTAGACCAATGTTATCAGACTAGCAGTGTCTGATATCATACTCTCTGAGGCCCATAAGAGGACACAGACTTTAAGTAGCCTTGCAGTAAACTTTTACTTTTGGCTTGAAGGAGAGCCAAACAATGCTGGAGAGAAGGAACACCGTTCACATCAGTACGGTAGAACAGAAATTAAATGGAAAGACTGTACGCCTAAAACGATTGGCTTTTGTTTGTGCTACTTGGGAAATTTGTTATGAGCAATTTAAAAAGTTTGTTCTATTCATCTGTTTAATTCAACAATTAGTTATTTTGTTCTTTCACATTCAAGGCTCTCTATGGCCTTTCTGGATGAACTAGTGGTCTCTTTGGCTCATCTTCAGACACTGTAGTTGTCTCAGTGATATAAAAAAAATGATTTTCAACTATCTCTGTAAGCTTTTTTCAATATCATCCCACAGTGCAGATCAAGTTCTTCAAAGACAGAGACTATGACACCAACATGCTGCAAGGCACATTGTAACAGGTACCATGGTATTGCATAGACAGCAGAAAAAAATAAAATAAATAATAAATGAATAAAATTGGGATTTTCTGTGACCTTCCTGAGTGATTTAATTGTTTTTGTCAGACTTTTGCTTAGACATTGTGCGGTTGTCCTTGGCTGATGAAGAGTTCAGACTGAGAGACAGCCAGGAAGAAGGATCATACATGTGGTCTGACGGGTCTTCAGTTGACCTTTTTCCATACGTAAATCAGTGCTCATACAAATACAACCGAGCTGTAGTCTGATGACAACTGATTGTCCATTACTACTAACCTCATAAATACATTTGAATATTTTGCAGTTACTATTAAATTCTACAATTCACTTAGCAGACTCTTTTATCCAAAGCGACGTACATCAGAGAGTAAGAACAACACAAGCAAGCATCTAGAAAAAAGGGAACAATGTCAGTAAGAGCAAACGATCAGCTTTGAGTCTGATTGGACACACAGGTGCTGACAGAAAGTGACCAGAGGTAAAGCACAACATTGACAGCAGTTCTTGAGAGCTCTAATCAGTATGGAAACCATCTTATAAGTCATCGTTATCAAACAAAAACAATTGTCACAACCATCATCATAGTCAATGATATGGAGACCATCATCATTAAGTTAGTAGGTATTCATGAAACAGCTGGGTCTTTAGCTTTTACTTAAAGGTGCAGAGGGACTCTGCACATCCAATGGAGTTTGGAAGTTCATTCCACCACCGGGGGGCGACAGAGGAGAAGAGTCTAGTCAGAGACTTAGGACCCTGTTGTGAAGGTTGGATCAGACGCCTTTCATTGGCAGAGCGTAGTGGGCGGGAGGGAGTGTAGACCTGCTATTTGTCCCCATCAATCATCATTAATCCTTGATGAATGAACTGTCTTCACACAGAAAGTGAGCAGGACTCTCGTTCAGAGATCAGAAATGACTCATTGATATGAGATATAATTAAAACACCCCAAAATTATTTTACCGATTCTCACATGTGGCAAGAAACTTAAATTTCATTTTTTTAATAGTGAATCAGAGAGCACATTTCACAGGAAGGGATGCTGAACCAATGATTGTTTTCATATTCAGTCGATCTGATCATTGAAAATCTCTCCAACAACTTCCCACAGCCTGAAGGTAAGTCTTCAAACTGCTTTGTTTATCCAAAAAAAAAACATTCCTCAAACCAAGGACTCTTTGTTTAATATCACGAATGACAGGAAAGCAGCACATGCTCACATTTAGAAAGACATGTGAAACATCTTTCAGTTGGTTAATTAACTGCAGCCCTCGTCTGTTTCTTCTGGTAGAGCTCATTGATCGATTGAATCTCCCTGTTTGCACTTTTCATTCCTCTTGAGCCCACACTTCAGCTCTCTCTCTCTTCATCTTAAAATGATGTAAAGATAGCCAAGGAAATCAAACTTGTTCCATCTTGAACTGCAGTGCCAAATGAAAAAAACTCTAGTTTATGAAATCACTGTTAATGTTTTGTGTTGGACAGAGGAAGAAGAGGAAGGTGATAACTTTATCACACGAAGAAGACCTCTAGTCAAATGTTGTGATTTTGATGGAATAAAAAGTTTGTGGCATTTGAGCAAGTGTGCATGCATATCTTCTTCCTCAGTCTGTTGTTTTTGCCCTGCACCTATGTCATGTGCATATAACTACCCTCTTTTTCTTTGTGTTGGACAGCCAACATGTTTCAGTCAAATTGATCTTCTGGAAACATCGTAGTTTATATATATAGTAACTTGTTTAAAAAAATGCTTTGGTGAAGAAAGAAGTGTTGTTAAGTAAAATCAGCTTTGGTCCTTGCTGATAGTCAAAGAACGAGGTTGAAATCAAGTTGGACAGAACAAAGTTGAGCAAACCAGAACTATATGAAGTTATCATTTTATTCATTTTTATGAAGGTTTGATAACTTTCACACAACAGACAGACAAAAACACAAACAAAGAAAGAACATAAGAGCATGAATAACAGCCCTTTTTTTTAAAGAAATGAGGAGAATTAAAGCGGCTCAAGCTATCAGAGTCCCAGCGGAGGCCATGAACACCTGCGGCAGACAACAACCACGGCAAACAGAAACACTGAGCGGGGTCTGGATGTCTGGAAGCTGCACCAGCACCGTCTGCCCCGTCACATCTGTCTGCAGCACAAGCACGTTCTGCAAAGGCTTCATTCCTAGAACCCCTGTTTGAGAGGTGGAAGGATCCGTGACCTCCATCAGCATGGGAGGAGCATCCATCACTGGGGACTGTGACGAGGAAGACTGCACCACCTCCATCACTAGATAAATAAAACAAAATCACTGTTAAGTCTTTCTGAACTTTAAATACATCATGCTGCTTCTTAAATGTATGTTAAACAATATGTTACCTAATATGTTCTACTGATAATATATCATTTTAACTTTAAATTCATCATGCTGCTTCTTAAATGTATGTTAAACAATATGTTACCTAATATGTTATACTGATAATATATTGTGATTAAAAAGGTCTTTTTGTACCTTCTTTTGGAGCCACATTTTGAGCTCTCCTCCTCCTCATTCTCTTCGTCTTTTTGCCCTAAACAAAAACAACAACAACAACAATGTTAAAACCATTTTCCATCTGTTATCATGCTTCTATTGTTGTTTTGTTGTAAACATGAGGCAGTTGTGTTGCTGTGTGTGAGAAGCGTGGACTTACATAATTGTCTCTTGTGGTCCACTCAGGGTGCATCTGAGAGTGAAGGCAGCTCTCCATATCAGCCTGTAGGTAATATCTGGCCTGCTCGCCCTTGGACAGAGACCTCCACTGTGGAAAGCACATTGTTGGTGAGCACACAAACACACTGAGTGTAGTTCTAATGAACAAACTCCCACAGTTCATTTATTTACTGTGAGGATGTTAACTTTGCAAAAATACACTTACAGTCTGCCCGAGGAACACGTTCACTTCTGCACTTCCTCTTTCCAGGATTTCAGCGGGGACATTTGGTCTCTGCTCTTTCATGTACAACATGAAGGCGTTCGGAGGCTTCTTCACATAAGTCCTGTTTGCGTCTTCAGTGCTTTCCCGCTGTCTTTTTCTATCATTCAATAAAAACACCAGTGAGGCACAAATGACGATATGAGCACATTTTGACCTCATCTTCTGTGCTGCTTTATTTCTAAATATTCTACAGACACTTCAAAGTAAGCAACACCTGAGAGACAAATTAATGTGATATTAAAAAAATTATATATTAGGCCAGTCGTCAAAATGTAGAAAAAATGTACTTTGACCCAAACATACCTTGAGTAGCAGAAGCTGAAAGGAAGAGCAGCAGAGACAGGAGGAGTCGGCCTCGAGATTGATGCTCGAAACTCACTCAACAGATCTGCAGAACTACACAGAGAAAAGGAGGGCAGATACAAAACGTTAAATAACAGGAAAAGTTTGTAAGAGAAAACAAAAAACTCTGTGGGCCTTTGTGTTCTTACATTCAGTATGTGTCTGTGTTACTAACATCACTCGGATATGCTTGAAACGTCTTTTTCTATCATTCAATAAAAACACCAGTGAGAGCTGATGTTACTCCTCATGTCACTCTTTTTTCAAACAATATGACGACATGAGCACAATTTGACCTCATCCTTTGTGCTTCTTTATTATATACACTTAAATTGCACAATTATTCATGAAGTATTATGATAGACATTTAAATTAATGTGATATTAAAACATGTATATATTAAGCCAGTCGTCAAAAAAATGTACTTTGACCCAAACATACCTTGAGTTGCAGGGGCTGAAAGGAAGAGCAGCAGAGACAGGAGGAGTCGGCCTCACGTTTGATGCTCGAAACTCACTCAAGAGATCCGGAGAACTACACAGAGAAAAGGAGGGCAGATACAAAACGTTAAATAACAGGAAAAGTTTGTAAGAGAAAACAAAATAACAAGAAACTCAGTGGGCCTTCTTATGTGTCTGTGTTACTTACATCACTCGGATACGCTTGGTGTTTGGCTCAAGGCCGTCTGACGGTGTCAATGGTTCCACATTACACTGCAAACACAAGCACAGAAATAGAGGTTAGGTGAGCTTCACTGGTGTCCATCAGATGTCTTTATTTCCACTGATGATGAAAGAAGATGAAAATGTGACATGCTAACTGGGGGGTCTTACTTCTTGTGGAGCAGCATCAGGATAACTGATAGGGGCTGCCTCTGCAGCAGGAGGATCATCCTCAACAGGCATCTCACAGGGCAGGTACTGTGGAGAGAGAGTGAAGGTTTACCATCAGAAGAACATGCATATAGTGTGCTGTCAAACAAAGAGAAAGAAGCAGAGCAGTGCGAATATTTAACTGCTAAACTTTAATGTTCAAACTAAATGTTTTGGGGTTGTTGTTTTGTTTTAAAGCAAAAAACAGTTTATGTGGCTATACT